GAATACCTTTCTTGTGACTAAATGATGGTACCCAGTAGTTTTGATAAGAATTCATATATGCCTCTATGATGACTAAATGAGAACCTGATAGCTTTTACAAAGATTCCACATATGGTATACCTTTCTCGTCAATAAATTACGGGTACTCTGTAGTTTTGATAGGATTCAAGGCAGAACGGTATTGGTAATATAAGCACTTTTCATCTCTGTTGTGGTTTGTTATCGGAGCATGCTGAGAATGAGCTCAGATTTGAAAGTTTACTCTTCTGAGATTAGAACTTGCACGCACCCACCCCCCAAAACAAAAATTCTCAAATTCGGTACAGAAAAAAAAATATTAAGAAAGACAACATTCAATGATAGTAAAAAAGTAAATCTAAATGACCATAGAAGTTGGTGGAACATTTGTTTGTCTCACATTCACAACAAATTCAAGAATAAATATTTCCAATAAACATCAAATATTGACATCTGTGAATACAGCTGTCCTCCATCACATGAATTCCATATCTTAAATGTCATCATGATATTTGATACATTTCCCTTACTTCACCAGTCATTGACAGGCCTCACATTAGGTAAAACAATGGAACAATAGGGTACAAGATATGACTAACTGCTTTCACAGAGGAACTGACCCCTGTGTCATGTGCACTCTGACCTCTTCATCAGCTCTAACCACATCTCGACATACCAGTCAACAGGGTACAGCAGTGGGGTTTTATAATGTTTTGAACCAGGGTGTGAAATTGTCTCAAAATATTGCAGCCATGTGGGCTAGCTCACCTTAAAAGTTAGGGACTGACCTTTTGATATTCAGGGGACGGGAGTGGGATTTTGTATCGAGATTAGACATTTTTCAGCTACAGCTGCAAAACCAGATAATTCTTTATATTAAATCTATGAGCCAAACTATTTTTTTCTCCAAAAAAACCAAAACTAATTGCAACCATGTAATTCTTGTGACAGGCAATTTCCTGTTTTTGGCCAATAGTATGATGCATAACCATTTTTTTCAAGAATTTTTTAGGACATTTTCTTTATTTCGATAAATTTCCGTTCTCCCTGTTTCGTACAAAACTTCAAACAACAATTCCAGGATATAATAAATGTTACTGTATTCGACGTAATAAGCGCCCAGGGCACTCTAAAAATTAGAAATAGGGGGCTCTTATTAGAATATTATTTTGGAGAAAAAAAAACAGAGTTGAAAGCACACCAGTTCAGCCCAGAAAGGGTCAGCATTGTGTTTTGTTGTTTAACCCCGCACTCAGCACTTCTCCAACTTTGACGACAGCTTGTAAATAATCGAGTCAAGAAAATCCAGTGATCAATATTGTAGGCAATGATTCATGCCGGGGTACGAGGACACACCATCAAGTCACGGAGTCTGACCACCTGATCCATTTGGTCGCCTAAAACGGCTCAGGTTGCTGGGCACATACGCTAACCTTGACTCCAAACAGAGTAGGCCTCAGTGCCTTAATCTTGTCTCAAAGAGCTGTCTAACATGGGAATGACACAGACAGGGATGAGACTGACTTGGCTAACTGCATGTCATCATGCCATGAATCACTCTGCTTGCTGTCAGTCAATGGTTGGCCTGGTTTCACGGCATGACACAGCAGGGATATTGCGGACTGCAGTGTTTGAACAACCTTCCCCCACTCGAGTATAGTAACACCGTGCTGGGCATGCAGTCCTGTTTTATCCACAAGCAGCATTCAGCCTAATCCCCAGAATTTACAAATATGGTAAACATTCGTGAGATAAGATTTGTAGAAATAGTAAAGTCTTTTGACATCACATAATACAGAGAACAGAAACAGTTGTACATACAATATTATGACTAAATGACAGTGATTAGATTTATAAATGGGTTTTTCAGATTAAAAACGATGTTTTATTGGTCTGTTTTAAGTCGTACAAATGGGTATCTCATACCTCTAGTCGCACATTAAAAGGAAGACAGAAGCTGGAATGTAAACAATAAACTTGTTTCCATCCGACAACTGCACACGACAGTTGAATTGCGTCGAAGTGTGGTCGGCATATGATTTAGTTTCAGAACGACTCGTCGTATCCAAGGTAACTAAAAATAGCATGGTTAATGCTCTTCGACACACAACTTATTATCGATGCGACAGGACAACTGCACATGTCAGTTGAATGGCGATCGAAGTGTGGTCGGCGCATAATTTAGTTACAGAGCAACTCGCAGTATACAAGGTAACTAAAAAATATGAGCAGGACTATAAAGTATGGGAAGACAATGCATACACCGAATAACCATAATAAAAAAGCCGAAGTACTGCACGCAACAAAAAACCATAAGAATGCGTACATTCACCAACAGTTTTTATTGTAACATGCGAAGAGATCTACTTGGGGCAACCAGAGTCGATCTGTCAGCAGATGAAAAACTGTCGGGCGGATCATCCACTTCGTGGGAGACGGCCTCGATGGTCTCGACAGGGCGTCGACTATCACATTCTTGGCCCCCAGGATGCGACGGGCGCGTACGCCCATGTCTAAGGGTCCTTGAGGAAAACCCACCTGTGGGCATAGTCTCCCCCCTACTGGTAACTTGTCTAAAGGCAGTGTCACCGGGGGCGACTCCAACGACAGTGACGGCGGGGAAAGGGTCCTCACTTCTTCCCCCGCTGGCTCTGTCCCCCAATGGGATACTTGGAAAAGGAGACCTGGCGATCTTTTCTGTCCGCATCTCTCTCGCGGGACGGCTGTTGAGGCGTGTCCCTATGAAAGGCCTGTTGTACATTCTCGTTTCTATAACGGCGTCGTGGGTCGTTTGAAACCGGTGGCTGTCTGGACAGATTGTGTGAAGCCAAAATGATGATGTCACGCTTGGCTTCCTTGGAGACCTTGTCCAGAACATCGTTGGTACGACCGTCAAACAACTGTTGCGATGACCACGGGGCCTGTAAGAGTGTCCAGCCATGACGATCAGGTTGTTCAGTGCAGTCGATGTAACCATGACGACGTGCCGTAGTAATCTGGCCTGATACATATCGGGACTGGGCGAGGACGTCCGAGATCCACATACAGGTGTGGATTGATGGCACCGTCCTTTCGTCCTCGTCCTGGGGGTCTTTCTCCTCAAAGTACACTGAGAGGGCCTCGATCGCTGTCGACAGCATAGCAAGCGGTTGTAGCTGGTGACGAACAGCAGTGTCCATGGATTCCAAATGCCTGTCTTCTACTAGAATCTTGGAGGGCTCTGGTGTCTTGAAGAGTAGTCCCCAATCCAAGTCCCTACTCATTGGTGACGAAAACGGCATGCCATAAAATCGGGTAACTAGATCGACCAGGCGGTTTGCTGATACTCTGTCCCGGCAGAGCAGAGGCAAAGTTCTGGTCCATATTGTGAGGCATGGCTCTGAAGACATCGGGAGGAGAAAACTGAAGAGACTGCTCTACGCCGCTGATCTCCCAAAAACTCCCTTCGAGAGCGTCGCACGTCCCTGTGGGGGCGAGGGCTACAATCTCTAACTGTAGAAGTACTACGATCCCAATCGTAGTTATCGTCCGAAACGAACTCATGACGACCACGAAGGCGACGAACATCCTCGTGTCGTTTACTGTCTCTCGACCAGGCCATCGACCTGTCGTCCCGTGGACGGGAACGACTTCTAGAGAGGGATCTGTGTTCACTGTCAACCCGCACGCCGTTCCTATCGTCGTTGGTAGGAAGAGAGACGGACCGACTGGGGACCGTAGCCCCCTCATGGTCCTCGTCACGACCCGGTCCCGTCGTAACGGGGGTGGCTGAGTGACGCTCTCGATCAACCGATTGACGAAGATCAGTCGTGCGGGTAGTATCATCAGCAGGCGAACAGTCACGTGTCTTGTCGAAAACATAAGTTGACGGAGGCGGGTCGTTATCAACTGATTTCTTGGGTGTGGCCGACGTGCCACCCCCAGGGCCAGATGTAGAGGGTGCAGAGTCCAAGGATCCACCTGATGACCTTCTCTGCTTGTAGCGCTGGTCAGTAGCCCGCTTCGCCAACGCACGAAGATACAAGTTAAAGTTGATAGAAGACAAGTGCTCACATTCTTCTCACGTTTATCCCACGAACACTTTGAAAACCTGTCCTTAATTATGCAGGAAGGACAATACTTGTGAGGATCTACTTTAGACAGTTTTCGTTGACACGAGGCACAAATGCCCGACATGTTGCCACGTGTATAATCAAGTCAAACAGTGAAACACGTGTTGAACACAAACAATGGATTACCAAGGATTACATTCCGGGAGTCTACAGGGAAGACATATTATCATTACTTTATTAGAACAACAACTGCAGACACACGATAAGTACTAGTAAAATACAAACTAGCAGACTATCGCAAAATTCCTTCTCGAGCGACCAGCTCAGAGGCGCGCTGAGAGATTTGTGACATGTCATGGGGAGGTGCGTGCGCTACCGGACGGAAACAAGTTTATTGTTTACATTCCAGTTTCTGGCTTCCTTTTAAAGTGCGACTAGAGGTATGAGATACCCATTTGTACGACTGAAAACAGACTAAAACATACAAAATGTGACAGATGTCACAGAGCAGTACCTGTACATGTACCTTAGTATAAGGTAAGTCACAGTATTGTTAACCTCTGTCAGTGTTATAGAGAGGCCGCCTTGACAGACTGAAATATACCAACCCATCTCCATCATGTCATCATGAAGTAAAAAATACCTGTTTACCCTTAATAAAGTCAAGATATTTCAGATGCTCTATGATTCTTAATTTACATCAGTAACTTCATGAAATGAAAGTTCTTTTACCAAAAACATTATTTAAATGTAAACCTACATTCAGCCTCCGAAACTCTGCTAACCCGAAACAACTAAATTGTGCTGAGGAGAAGTACGAATCCATTGATGGTAGACCTCACTGACAAGTAGCATTTGAGGGCTATAATTCTCAACCAGTTCTCAATGCATCAATTTTGCTACAAATCGGAACTGAACAAAACACACAGAAAATGTAAACAATTTAGTTTATTTAGGTTAGCTACAAACCCCAAGGTCCTGTATAATTAGTTGAGGCTGTAGTTTGAAAGGCTGTACATCTATCATGACAACTGAATATTAACAATTCAGGATCTGTGATTCAGAGTGTAGAATTAGCAAGAAGATGTATCAATGTATTCATGAGTCATCCTTTCAACATCAGGGTTATGACAAGGACCCTTTCACTTTCATACTTAATGTCAAACATCACAGTGTTTGCATTTTCTTCATGAGCACAAACCCACAACAATGAACTGAGACACCCTCAATGTTATCATCCTCAGCCAGTGCATTTACAAATATAAAAAACTAATAATCCTATCCAGGTGTTGAGATGCAGATGTACACAGTACTTTCCACACATCCCTCAGTCTCTCTCTTTATACCAGAAATATCTCAAGAATAGATGAAAGAGCTTTGGGTTGTTCAAACACTATGACATACATGACAAGACTTAGAAGTTATTCGAAACATATAGCTCACAATGAGTGTGACACCTTGCTGATATTTGCACATTGCATTGAAGTGATTCTCAGAGCTGAACGATCAACGTCATCAGAACAATTTCCTGACATGATACCAGGTGAAGCTACAGCTTTATATTTCCCTCGGTTCTTTCTTGAAATATCAATAAGGGATATGTGAGTGAGTTGGGTTTAACCTCGCTTTGAAAAGTATTTAAGTGTCAGCTTAATGTGGGAGGAAAGCCCGAAGTGATGCATGTCTCAGATGTTTACCACTTTGGTGAAACGCATGAGCATGGGTATGGTGCTGACAAACCTAAAACATAACAAGGATATCATAGGTTTCTCGGTGTGCCAAAGGGACACAACACTGCTCACTGAGTTCCAGTGCCTTAGACAGCTGGGCTGCCCGTGCCCCTATATGGGATGTGTAGATTATCCTACAAAATCTTTTAATTATGGCTACCCGTTCCTCACAAAATAAGGCTGGACAATTCAAAATTCTATAACAGTTGTTATTCTCTAATTTCCTTCCCTGACAATACGACTTAATTTTCTCTCACTTTTATAACAATATTGAAAGATGTACCATGTTGGTTTGAAATTGCCCAGAGTGTTGATTTGTTGCCCTGACAACACCTGCTGCGGCTGTCGTCAATCATTGTAAAACTATGGGAACAGTTGCTATATAGCTTTGTGAATCCAGAGATAGAAATTGGCATTAGTCTAGTTTGCCTGATGTTAAAGATATCCTGAGAAGAATGTCAGATTCTTGAGGGGTGACCTTGTGTGTTACCACTATTCAGCCAAGTAATGGTGCCCAAAAGATCAACAAACAGCCAGCTCATTGCCCTACAGTGTAAAAACAGGGGGAGTCCACTCTACCCAAACATTATTACATTTTGTCATGATTTCAACATGTTCTCAGCAAATAAAGAGTTTCTGCATGGAATTGTGACAATTTATCACAAATGATCAAAATCAAGACAAGTTAATTATCAATTCAGAAAAGATTAAAGAAAATATTACAATTATTGATCAGGTTTCAATGTAAAAATGTAAATGAAAACAGCTAATATTTCCTTCCTTCATAAGAATCACAGGAAGTAATTATAATGTTGTCTCCCCTTAATATCTCAATGACCCGGATTTTACACCCGGGCCAATTCATCCACAATGGGAGCCTTCTTTGTGATCTTTTCAGGTGAGTGAACTGTGATACTTGATGCCGACACAGACCTCCCATCAGTCGATGCTGAATCAAGGCTTCCTGTGTCCGCAATACCCGTGTCGATGGAATCAGTGTCTCCACTGGATGGCTTGTCTGAACTACTAGACACCCTACAGGCAGCTTCCTCTGTGTTAATCTTCTCTGTAGAAACGCTCTTGCCACCACTTGAGACTACACCCCCTGAGGGAGCTGCACTAGAGTTCCGGTTCACTGCTCCAACAGTCCCTGAAATGACATGTGCAGAATTCGACGCCGACCCAGTCGTGGTCAAAGCAGAACTTTTGCTTGATGCTGATGAACTTGCTGCAGCTGTAGCAGCAAGGGTTTTGGTGACGGCGTGGGTGCTGGTTTGTTTGATAAAGAGCTCTGGTCCGCCCCCATAGATGTTGTGGAGGTAGTGCCACATCTCCTTGGACAACTGACCATGGTCAGAGGACTGTTTCAGCTGGTGTTGACCATTCTTGTATATGGCGATACGGCTGTTGTCTATTGTATCTGGAGGGCCTGAAAACGAAAAGATAATGTCTTACTTCCTGTCAGATTAATACTATTCAGGAAAAGTAAATAACAGGTTGTTTTTCAAGCCAAAATGGTCCCTATAGAACATTAAGTCGCTTTTTAAGTCAGTTTTACAATCACTGCAAGTGAGTGAGTGACTTGGATAAATGCTGCTTTGAACAGAAGTAATTCATTATAACATGGGTGAACGATAAGCCCCTAAAATATGCAGAACTGTCATGATACAAACAAACCAAGGATTATAATTTGGCTGAAATTGGATCTCTTGCCCAGTTGATACTGCACAGCTGATGGACATAGCTTGTTATAGCAAGATGGAATGCCTTCCACCACCAGGGCTTCTTGTGTAAATAGGATTTAGTTTTCAGGTTTTTTTCTTGAACAAATAGTAAAGAATTGCTGCATGTGGTATTTCATTTAATTATCTTTGGAGTATCAAAAGGCCCTGCATAACAAGAAATCCTCTGGGTAACACTTGAGAGCTGACTTTCATGTGATTGACATCATAAGCATTGATCTACGCAATTGGGATACGAAGAAATGCATCAACCAAGTCAGCGAGCCTGACCACCTGATCCCATTAGACGCCTCTTATGACAAGCATTGGTCGCTGCAGACCTATCCTAACCCGGATCTTCACGGGTCCTAACAGCCGTTGAACCACCGGATCCCCAAGTTCGTCTCCACTCATAACTAGACACTGGTGAATGCCATTGAACCACCAGATCCCCAAGTTCGTCTCCACTCATAACTAGACACTGGTGAATGCCATTGAACCACCGGATCCCCAATTTCGTTTCCACTCAGAACAAGACACTGGTGACAGCCACTGAACCACCCAATCCCAATTTAGTCTTCATTCGAAACAAGACACTGGTGACAGCCATTGAACCAACTGATCCCCAATTTAGTCTTCATTCAGAAGACGATACTGGTGACAGACATTGAACCACCCAATCCCCAATTAAATCTCCACTCAGAACAAGACACTGGTGACAGGCATTGAACCAGCCGATCCCCAATTTAGTCTCCACTCAGAACAAGACACTCGTCACAGTCATTGAAACACCTAATCCCCAATTAAGTCTTCATTCAAAACAAGACTCAACCACCCTCAATTCCCTGATGCTGTGCCCACTCACCCTCTGCCTTCCCCCTGACAAAGCTCTCCCATTCCTTGAACCAGGCCATGCTGATGGCAAAGATTACTGCAGGACACTCGTCAGTCTGGAAGTCCTCATTCAGCTAGAAAAGACACATGTTCCTCATACAGACATTGTAAAGTAACTTTAGTATTGCTAAACATGCTAAATTCAAACATTTTCAGCTTCACGCAGGGATGAAATTTCAGACTATCTGTGAATGAGTAAACATTTTTTTGTGTAGTCAACACAGATATTTATCGACTTGTGGACTTTCCGGAATAATTTGGGGTTTTCCTGGCACAGAAATGGGGGTACTTCATAATCACTGCATCCTACTTGAAGCCTCCATGCTGGAGGCTTATGACTTTAACCTGTCTTGACTTCTAGGAATTCTAATGAAGTCAGCCTTACACTTGTCATAAATGGGGATTTGTAATGTATGTTACCTAAATTAAAGAGTGAAGAAAATCGGACACTGACTGTCAAAACTGTAGCATTTCCAATTAGAACAGAAGTGTCAAACAAAAGTTCATAGAGTTCATGGTTCAAGGCCATGCTTTTGTAAGTCCCATGAGATTTGCAATGCATATTATTTACAACCATTCTTAAATTGTAAGCACAGAGTTGATATGTTGCTTCGATTAAAAATAAAATCCTGATCGCCATATCTCAAAAGGGGTCATAATGAGAGAAGATACCAACACAAGCCCTGGTTAACTTACAGCAGGACCTACTTGCACAAGCAATCCTAGCACAAAGATGAGCGTAACTCCCATGCTTTAACATAGGCTTACGATAGTCTTAGCGGTAACATCGCTTGGTGCGAGTGGACCCTGGCAGTGAATCAGTCAGTTAGATGATCCTGTGTGAAGCTGTACCTGTATAAATGTCTCCATCTCCGTCTTCTGTCGGTAGCGCAGTTGTTCCAGTTCTCTCTGACAAGTCTGGCAGGCATACAGGTAGTTACACACAGGCCCTCCTCCAAACCTACATCAGGAAAACGGGCAATAGTTACGTGGCTCTTACAACCAGCATAATGTACTTGGGACATCATTGTAGTCTGCGTAGTCTGAGTAGTCTCAGCAATACAATGGTGGTCTTTAAATATTCAAGTTTAGACCAGACAATCTAGTGATTGATATCATGAGCAAAATCCACACAAATGAGAAACGATGTCATCAACCATGTAACTGACTCTGATCACCAGATATATACACCTCTTATGCCCAGCATATGGTGATGAAGATGTATAATCTTGCCCAGAATCCCTGGGTTCATGATTTGTAATCTGGGTGAATCAATGATTCAACAATGAAGGCAACAAAGGGGAATAAATCTGCACCGCACATTAAGGTATTTAGACACTTGGCAAAAAAACCATACACTAACACCAGTGCTACCCACTCATCCCTTGTCACCCGTGAAGATCCGGGGTAGAATAGGTCTTCAGCAACCCATGCTTGCCATAAGATGCGACTATGCTTGTCGTAAGATGCTTGTCAGGTGGTCAGGCTTGCTGACTTGATTGATACATGACATATGACGTATTCTAATTCATGATGTCAATCACTGGATTGTCTGGTCCAGATTTGATTATTTACAGATCACCGTCATATAGCCCGAATGTTGCTGAGTGTGGAGCTAAACAACAAACAAACAAATAAACACTCATCCCTTGTAGCAGGTAAAGATGTATCCTACCTGTTGTAGAGGAACTCCCACACCGCCTGGTTGAGGGGCTGGGCCAACTCCTCCACATGGTTGGTCTTCCCTGGAGGAACACCTACACAGGAACAACACAGTTCAGTTGTCAACTTTCTACCATACACATGTGCTGGATTGAATCACAGTCATTCTACAATCAAAGTTACCTTCCTGTGGTGTTCTGTACAGTGTCCAAAATAACTGCCTTCCCACAACCAAATGACAGTGACTTTTAAAATTGGGCGAGTAACATTTCCGTGAACATTGGCCGGATTATATAGTTGAAACTGTAGTTAATATTGAATTCTATGAGTCACCAAGTCAGTTAAAGGGTCATTTAATGTCAATGGCTGCTGTCAGGTTTTTTCTTCATTTTGTAGCTTGTTGGAAGTGGTTTGGGATAGTTTTCGTTAACAAGCCAGTGAACTTCGTGAACTAATTCATACACTGGTCCTGTAGCCGCAGTATACAACCATGCTTGTAACAATTTCACTTTAAAGATGTCTGTTCTGTGAGGACTTAACTTCTTATTTTTTGGCAATTGATATTGTCTTTCTGAGTTCCTGTTCCAGATACAATGGTCAAATAGATTTTAAGTATGTTTCCTTCATGGAAACAGACTAGTGTTAGACATTCTGTTTAAACTATAAACACACACTATCAACATAACCAGAGCTAGCATATTCTGAAACTTTGTGTAAAATAAACAAGCCATACCTCCATGCCGACAGAGGAAGTCACGGTTTGTGATCGGACCTGGCTCAGCAAAAGTGTTGAACTTGTTGATCCATTGACGAGAAACAAAGAACTGCATGAGACTTGGCTGAAACACAAAACGTCATGTTATTACCATTCTTCAACACAAAGATGAAACTTCAGATCACAATACAATACAGGATATAAACAATATTCGACGTAATAAGCGCCCAGGGCGCTCTCAAAATTAGAAATAGGGGGCTCTTATTAGAATATAATTTTGATGAGAAAAAAAAACAGAGTTGAAAGATTGTAAATGATATAAAAGAAGAATCTGTGTGTATTATACACTATGGATATATTTTCGAGAATTTAATAGCCAAAAATGAAGGGTGCATATAACAAACAAGTGCGTATTTTACATGAATAAATAAGTCTTGTGTATATTGATCAATTGGAAAGGGTGCTAATGTTCACTAGTCAATATATTAGCAAATATCGCCATGGGCGCTTATTAGAGCGGGGCGCTTATTACGTCGAATACAGTACTTCTGGTGAGGCGCTCAATTCATCATCACAGAGAGTGATCAGACATTCTAAGAGATGAATCATCAGTCCTAAAAATTGCTTTGCCATGTTTACATATGTTACCAAACAGGTAAACTTGAAATGTCTTATCGGGAAAGTTTCACAAATTTTCAAAAATATGTTCCAGAATGTCTTGTACCAGCAGCTACCTAATTTAACACTGGTGATGTTGTTAAGAACAGGTTGTAAGAGGCAACTATAGTGGATCAGGTGGGCAGGCTCTGTAACCGATTGGGCATCATCATACACCAATGGTGTGGAATGTTGCACCTGTATTCAGTCACTGGCTTCCTGGTCCAAACTTGATCACACACAGGCCACTGAGGCAACTATGTAATACATGCTATAAATCTGTAAAGTGTAGGGTCATTGCTTGCTTTTACCTCTTTTGCCTCCATCAACTCCATGGCTTCCTGCCTCAGACTGTGCATCTTGTCATTCTGTTTCCTGCAAGACACAGACAACCAATGACATGCAGGTAGCACTTTCTACTTGGAAAACATCTAAATATCTGCAAAAGCTTGCCTATAATATATATACTTTTCAAAAGAAGTTAAAGAACACCCTATTCTTTCATCAATCTCATAAAAATCAGACTATAGTGCTCGCTACAGCTTCACAAAGACCCTAGGACATCCCATTACAGGTCACGTCAGACCGACCTTTCGCAAACTTTGACCGACCAATGAAATGGCTAACCAGAAGTTGACTTTAGCCAATCAGAAAGCAGCTTTCTCTAGCTTTACAGCACTAGTTTCAAACTGGCAACTTCCATTAAATCCAGACTACCCCTTGTAAACTATTTTGATAAAGTTCTTAATACAAAATTTGAAAAATGAACATAACAAATTCAGGAATGTCTAATAGATGACCAAGACTGCATGGTAATACTTCCCATGGGCTATGGAAAGTCTCTTCTGTGACAAATATTGATCCAATTTTTAAGCAAGAGATAGACGATTTAGAAGAGCACATAGGCCTCACAGTTGACCACCTACCTATAGAAGAGCACATAGGCCTCACAGTTGACCACCTACCTATAGAAGAGCACATAGGCCTCACAGTTGACCACCTGCTGCACGTCCACCTCTGTAACATACTGGTCGTCAAACTCATACCACTGCTCGTTGACGTAGTTCAGGCAGTATGCAGTGTAGTGGCCTCCTGCAACCAAATCATACATCAGTGAAAAGTGAGTGAGTGAGTGAGTGAGTGAGTGAGTGAGTGAGTGAGTGAGTGAGTGAGTGAGTGAGTGAGTGAGTGAGTGAGTGAGTGAGTGAGTGAGTGAGTGAGTGTTGGATTTAACGCTGCTTTTAACAGCATTCCAGTTATATCATGGCGGGTCAGCTTAATTCGGGAGGAAAGCCTGGAGTGATGCAGGTCTCAGATGTTTACCACTTTGGTGAAACCAATGAGCACAGGTATGGTGCTGACAAATCTAGAAACATAATCGGGGCGAATCGGGATTCGATCAAGTAGATTATTCAAAACGGGTGTCATGTTGGCCATATTCAATAATACTGAAAATCGAATTTAAACCTCTTGAAAAAAATAAAGGGACATCATTGGAGCAACAAACATGAAGTTTCAGCAACATTGGTCGAGATTATGTATCAGTGCCAGTATCTTTTCGTAATTTGCCTGCACTGTAATCAAAGATAAACACTTTTTAAAGGTTTCTAAAGCACTGCTTGACACTCTAAATATTTTCAAACAAACTCCCTTGACTGTCTACTGACCTCCAGCTGTTCCATGATGACAAATGACGGCCACCAGGTTGTAGCTTGTCACCTCAGACTTGCAATCTGTACAACAAATATATGGTTTACTGTTTGATTGGCACTCTCAAAGTTGGTGGGTACATAAGACAACATACAACTTTATGCTAAATGCAATAAACCAGAAATTGTTGTCCATAAAGTTGTGTTTTTCCTTATTAACTTGGTTATACGTAAAGCATACAGTACCCCATGAGTAAGATTGTGTGTGGATCTGGTCTTACAACATTGAAACAATACCACAATGTAGGACAACAAGAATATGAGGAATTAAACCCCTATGTCTTCAGCCATGGCTTCAATACACAAACCTTTTGATTTTGTTTGTTTGTTGAGCAAAGCTGCACTCAGCAATTTTCCAGCTATATGACAGCAGCCTGTCTGGCCTAGACCAGACCATGCAGTGATCGATATTGTGAGCAACGCTCCACATTGTCGGGGTATGTCACCGAGTCTGACCACCTCATCCATTTGGTCACCTCTTATGACCAGCATATGCTGCTGGGGACCAGTTCTGACCCGGAATCCCCACAGGGGACAAACGTTTATACCACTAGGCTCCACCTCCGTTTCATCAGACAGGGAAGCCATGTGTGGTCTAAAAACCGACAAATACACAAGCGTGACTTTTACCTGTATCACGACTCAATGCTCACCTTTGTGTAAATAGGGCTTCATGTCCAGGCCTTCAAGGGGAAAAGTGACATACGTTGAGATCTTAGAGGAGTAGAATTCATGGCGGAAACGCTTCAAGTGAATACACACCACCTACAACAAAGACATATTCATAACACATAATGCCCAAACAATCTCATTAAAGTCACATCACAAACGCTAAACAAAGATCTGAGGACAGCCCATTCAGAAGTTAGGAAGGTCAGAACTGAGACCAACCACTGAAATGACTAACAAGAAGTCAACATGAGCAAATCAGAGAGCAACTTTCTGGAGATATATACGGCAGTAGTTTCAAACTGACGACTTGTATTCCAGACTACACTCCCCAAAAATATTTGACAATGTTCTTGAGAGCTGTTTGGAGGAAGTGAGCGAGTGAGTATGGTTTTATGCAGCTTTTAGCAATATTCCAGAAATATCACGGCAGGGGACACCAGAAATGGGCTTCACACATTGTACACATGTGGGGAATCGAACCCGGGCCTTCAACCTGACTAGCGAACACTTTATCCACTAGCCTACCCCACCGTCCCTGTCATTTGGAATACCCTGTGTTAATCTGAATACAGCTATCACTGAATTAAAGCAGAGCAGTCAAGAGAGTACAGTGAACTCAATATTCTCGGTATCAGATAGAATTTTCTCTATCTACATATTTCTTTATAGATATATTTAAAAGACACACAAGAGAAAGAAAGATCATAGTTACCTCTGGTAATTCTAATACTTTGGAATACTTTAAACCATTCCTCAATCTGAAAACAAACAAATATATTTTAGCAATGGCAAAAGACTTATCCATCCTGACTGAATTGCATGTACATTGTATCGATACATACGACAGTAGAGTCACGATACCATACATTTCGCTATAGTTAATTTACAGTGTCTCTGCAGAGAACATCTGCACACTCCAAGTGGCATGGCTACAAAGAGGTTGCTGAATGTAGCGTATGTACTGCTTCCTTTGGAAAGAGACTGTGTTCAAAATATGCCCCTGTTCATCCAGCAGTTAAAATGGGTACCCTGTAGGTTGTGATGGTAATATGAATGTTACCCTTCTTGGGCCAGACAAGGCAGCTTGAGTTGTATACTCCCCAGGGGGGTGAGAATGAAAATTGAGTACACACTGATTCATTGACTGGGGTAATAATGTTAGCGCTTGAGCATGGACAAGTGTATGGAGGCTAGCACAATGTAAGTACACACATTATCATATTATTATTTTAAGCTCCTCCTTCTTATAGCATTTTGCATAGTCAGTATTATCAGATTTAGTATTTTGTTTCAAGATAGGTGATAAGTTAATTCTAGCCTGTGTAGTTATAAGTCTGGGTCATTGCAAAACCTCAATAATAATTTTATTTAAAAAGGGAAAAAACTCAAACTTGCTGAAACATGAATTGATACATGGGAAGTCATATCGTGTACCGTAATGTTAGGTGTAATTTCGTAAACCATCAGTGAATAATGACACCCCTTGTATAAAAAATATATACCCACAATCAATGGTTTGTGTACATTAGAGGAAACAATTTGACATAAGCTGATAAGGTAATGAAAGTAACTTTAGAGATGAATTTACACTGATTGGCTGATTGTTCACCTGACATGACTTTTTATGGTGGTGTCTTTAGATTGTCACGCAGAGAGATATCAGATTAGAGTTAAAGATCTGATTTTCAAGACACTGGAGCAATGATCCACTCATGGGGGTATGATGACATACAATCAGTCCAAACAAAAAGTCTAACAACCAAATCCACATTTTTGTCCACAACTGCTATTAACCATGGTATATCTCATCAAATCATGTAAACATGGTAAACAGGAGACCTACTTCTTGCACTTCTCACAGCTGTACATGTTGTCCCCCTTGAGCTCATCGGCCGAGAAAAAGGCAGCCAGACAGTCCTGCAGCGAGATGGTCGGACCCACGAACCAGCTGAAACACACACCAACACAGTATTGATAATTTTACATTAAATTAAGTATAACATTGAATACTTTTCTTGTAAGTTTGGGGCAGGCCACATGCACCTTGGATGGGCTGCATTCAGGAGAGGTGTTTCAAGTTTCTGCAAACGGATGTATTTGCAAGCATTGTTTTCACTTTTTGTTTAAAAAATGAGACATAACATAAATTGTGAGACAGGATAAGTAAAAATCTACAGTAGCACAGTATCCCAGTACTACTCAGGGTACAGCTACAATTTTCTGCAAAGCCCTGAAGCAAGTACATTGGGTAAAGAGTTTTTATTTTCTCCAAAATCAGAAATTGGTTAAAGTCCATATATTTTTAGGTATTTTAGCATTGCATTGTAATCAGCGTGATGTAACATTAATTATTAAAGCCTTTTCATATTGGCCTTGCTGTCAGTGAATTTGAAATAGAGGTCCTCTTTGCAAAACTACCAGAAAAACATATCTCAGTATGCATAATGAATAACCTGAAGGTGCTGACATTTGGGGCAGTGTTACTTGTGATAGGCATATTGGTTCTAAAAGGGTTTATTAACTGCAAGAGTTAAGTGGAGCCTCTTACGAACAATAATGTGGAACTAAATTCTAGGATGGTAGATTTTGTTTAATAGATGTGTCCACACACTTTTTGTAATATGGGAAGTCATAATCATGATAAAAAAGTGATCGCAAAATAAAAATTTAGAATTTCATTCAAACTTGAATTCTACAAGTTAGAACGATTGAAACAACCTTTCCATCACAAGCCATAAACAAGTGATTACAAATTGATTACAAATTGGTTGTACATGTGACAATGGCTGTAGTGAGGTCACTGACCATTGCTAACTAGTCAGAATTACTGGTAATGGTTTTTTTCTTTTGTGGAATATCTCAGATTACTGATTATCATAATAGTTGGTGTATCTGCATTAAAGAGGTCAACAACTTACCTCTTCATCCAGTTAAACATCATTGAGATCCAACCTTGGTTGACCTCACCACATGCCCCGCCCTTGACGACCCCTGACCCTGGCCCCACAGCCTGGCTGGAGTGCAAGACATGCAGGTGATCTTTACTTGGAATCGGCAGACTTAGGTCTTGGAATGTCTCCTTGGTTGTAGACACCTATTGGGCATCAGAAAAACATTGTCATGAAAAGGTAAAAGTGATAAAGGGAGGCAAGTGTACCACCAGAACACAAGAGACTTTTAGTGGTACAAGCTCTCCCTAAATTCTCCTACAAAAGAGTGGTTAAAGCCATTTGATGTGTTGGGTGCAAATTAACCATTAAAGACCCAAGATTCCCTTAGGTTGAAATACCTACTTTCTACCAAAGTGATAAAGGGAGGTAACTGTACCATCAGAACTAAAGACACCGTCTAGTGGTCCAAGCTCACCCTAAATTCTGCTACTACACAAGAATAGTAAAAGCCATTTTATGTGTAAGATACAACAGACCCTTAAAGAACCAAGTTTCCCTTAAGCTCAAATTCCTACCTTTCACAAAAGTTATAAAGTGAAATAACTGTGTTATCAGAACACAAAATAGATAAGGGAACAAAGAAATAACATTCACTGACCATTCAATCAATACCAGAGATCTTAAACTAATAGTTAAACTAATACTGCCAACAAGTTTAAAGAAGTTAAATAGTAATTATGCCAACCAATGAGTACACAAGATACACAAACCAATGAATACACATGATACACTAAGTGACTATGCTTGTCGTAAAAGGCGACTAACGGAAAAGGGTGGTCAGACTCGCTGATTTGGTTGATGCATGTCATCGTATCCCAATTGCGTGGATCAATGATCATGATGTCAATCACTGGATTGTCTTCAGACTTGTCCAGATTCGATTATATACAGACCGCCGTCAAATAGCTGGAATATTGCTGAGTGCGGCTTTAAACAACAACAAAAACTCTGCATCACTGGAGTTATTTCCATTGAGCACTTGGCAATGAAGATGCTGTTCAACATGCCCCATCAACATGTCTGGTGATTTTTTTTATCTCAAATTCACCCGTTCGTTTGCCGGATTTCGCTGAAGGGGTATGGTGTAATTTTTTTCTGCCCTTGGTATTCGGAAAAAAATTCTCCAAAATACTGAACCCGCTAGAGGGGGGTGCGCATTATACATGGGTGCGCACTATACTCAAGAAAATACGGTACCCACCCGCTCACACATGAGGCACATGACAGAGCTGAGGATCTTGCCGTCAAATATGTCCGAGATGACGCTGCGATGGAGCACATTCTTCTTTGAAACTGAAACATAACATAAATACCTGTGTTACCTTCTTAACAAAAACAAATCAAACATCATTATCAGTGATTATGATTGGTTACATGTGTGTTCTTGATTAAATTCTGTTAGTCCATTAGTCACTTTCATTCAGTGTATATTTACCATGTTAACATATATCAATCTTTATCAGTTTATGCCTGGTCAGAACAATCTAATTCTCATATATTTTCTGACGATGTACATGATGTAACCATGGTAACCACGCACTTCATCATGATACAATACTGACATGTATGTTCGGTGAAGCATCACATTAACTTACCAATGTCATCCTACACTTAATTAGTGCAATGAAAAACCCAGTCTAATGTAGTCGCAAAATGTTTAGAAATAAATCATTAAAATAATGATAGTGTATTAAAAAAACTTAGCATCATCAGTGAATGGAGAACAACTCGTCGGTGGAAGCAGGCATACAAACTAAGAGTGAGTATAGTTTCACGACACTTTTAGCAGTATTCCAGCAATTTCACAGTGAGGGACACAAGAAATAGGCTTCACACATTGTACCTATGTGAGAAATCGTACCTGGGACCTTGGTGTGACGAGCGAACAAGAAACAAACAAACAAACAAACAAACAAAACAACACATGCAGATTGACCTACCTCTCCCACTGTTCAATGACTTTGTACTGGTTGATTTGTGCAGTGCTTGCTGTATCGGTGCCGTGGTCTCTGTTGCTGTAGATTGCGATGTTATCGTCGTACTCGGTAAAGAAAGCTTCGACCTCTGACTTACCGCTGATGACCCCAAATCCGACACGGCATCCACAAACTCTGTGGAATCACTTTTCCTCAAATGATCACCAGATGGTCCATGCTTAACACTGACATGATCCAGACTCTGTTTTGACAACAAGTTGGCCGTCTCCTTCATTTCCTTCGTGTTAGCCACATGATCGTCTACATTATCGTAACACCCTGACCTCACAGTCGACCTCCGTTCTCTAGTACGAGGGTTGAGTTTCGTCTGTTCATTAACGTCACTGTTTTCATCACTGGAGAAACTATGCTCCACAGAACTCTTTTCACTGCTCAGCCCTGAGTCACATGTCTCGTATTCATATTCCGATTGGCTGCTGCTGGAATCAATGGAATTCTGTCGATCATGTGAGTTGAGATCCACCTGGCTTACAATGACTTCTTTTGACTGGTCATCGCTGTCAGAGTCTTCAATGATTGGCTGTTTCAGCTCTTCATGTAGTTGATCCATGTAGCAGCGTAAGAATTCTTGCGTATCCTGAGGTAACACACGGGAAATAATACTTTTTTTATAGTAAAAATATTATTTATACTTATCCTGACTCATACTTATGGCTTATCTCTCTCTCTTCCAAATAGAGACTTTTATTTCTTGGCTCACAGATGTTTAAAAAGAAAAGACAAAAGAAAAATGATGCTTCAGAGTTTTTTTCTACACTTAAATTATAATTTACTCGGTAGGTTTGTCATGCTGGTGTCATGCTTGATGATCAACATATTGTGCATATGAACACACAATGCCAGTTAGAAAGTGGTCAAATGTAACAAATGTTATATTTGGGATAACACTTTCTGAGTAAAGTACAGATTTTCGTACTTTTTGGGTTGAGTCCCTGTCTGGGATTGGAACCCACACTGCCAGAGTGAGGCACCTTATCACCAGCACACAAAGTCGGCGATCTAACCCACTCAGCCACTGAGGCTTCCACAAAATGAAATCCGACAAATGGTAGTCTAGATCACATACTTTGTGTACCCCTCTGACAAGTGTAATTGGCACAGCTCCCATGGCTGAAAGCTATGAACACACAATGCCATTTATTGCCAACTTGGGTTCAAATCCCCGACGGGACTCAACCCAAAAAGTACGAGAATCTGTACTTTACTCAGAAAGCTTTACCCCAAATATAACATTTGTTACATATTGTACATACATTTTGATGTTTTCAGATCATTTTGTTTTCACTATTATTTTCAAAGGGTAAAGCCAATATTGAAATATTTTTTTGTGATGGGATTCGAAAACGTTAATGAATATTTATCTGCATGAAAAATGTAAAAGTTTAAGTTGCAGATCAGGACTCCATTCAGCTATATGAAACATGTACCAGTGCAACCTATTATTGAAAATTGCAACCAAATAGTAATACATGCACCAAGTGTGAAACTTTGGTAAATTAATGGGACCAAGTGCAACCCGGTTGTTTTTGGTGCAACTTGGTTTCACGTCTCAACATGCACCTTGTGCAAGTTAAATCAAGTTCCCATCTGCAGATGCTCTAAAGCTTTGGAAGGTAAAAATAGTTTACAGGAAAACACAATTGTTATTTACTGCCTCATGCTCCAGGACGGAAAGGAATAGTGACCAAAAGCATGGACTGGTTGAGTGTTACTGTTTTGGGACTGTTTCATTGTAGAGCTAGGTTATGTGTAGTTTTAACTCTGCTAAATTGAATTTGAAATCAAATGCACTCCAATGCACATTACAAATATGACATCTCATTGCTCATTGTGACACAAAAAGATATGACATCACAGTCAGAGCTAGAGAAGCCCCAAATTTCAAGCTCTCTCTAGTCCATAACAGTTAAATACACACTCTTTTGTCTAAGATAATATGTCTTTCTGTGTTACTGTATGTTGAGGCATGGTAGATGAAATCCCTAAATATTGAAGGATCCGGGCAGGCCAGGGGACACAACTCTGCGGAGATACATGCAGTGCAAACGATGACTGGGCCACCTGTACCCTCCAAACACAGATAATAAGGTGCCACTCACCTGTTGTGTGTATCCCCTGAACATAGGATGAACGTGTTTCATCCCACTGACCACACTACTGGGGACAACATAGCCCTGCCTGAAAGTAGAGAAATACATCCTAAAACAGGTGTCAAACATCTAGAGAACTTGGTGGTAGAGTGACCTGGTGGGCAATCTCATTAAAAGCAAATCTTTTAGTACTCTGATATGATATCTCTCCGCTTTAAGATATGAAGACACCTTCACAGGAGGTCGTGTCAGGTGGAATTTCAAACCAGTGTTGAGGCTTCTAAAACAGAATTCTAACTTCTGCATCTCCAAGAAGAACTAAAACAAGTTCCAAAAGTAGAAAGTAAAATGGTGCCATTCTGTTTTTGAGGATACTTCATGCATATTGTGATTTTGGAGCAGGGGGTGGTGAAAAATTATGAAAAATGTTACTTGACCAAGGGCAATTATAACCAAGTCTTATTTGACCTATTTTAAAACGCTCTTGCCCAAAATCAAACTAAAAAAAATCAGTAAAATGTTACATCTACAGAACTGAGAATCAGAGATAGTGTTCCCTCACTATTGCTCAGTTATAGCGCGCGGTAACGCAAGGCTCCCAAAATTTACTTACCGTGTACATATTAAATAAACTCAAGTTTTAAACTGACACAATGTTTTCCCCCCATCTCCAAAAAATTTATCAGCTGATCCCTGCGAGCATGTCACGCAACACTCACAGTTATTAACAGCAATAACAGTCAGATTACTGCTATTTACGCCTTGAAACAAAGTTAAGTTGCCAGAGAATGGATACATATAGTATGATATACCATAAATGCCAACTTTGACTCGATAAAAGCCATTTTTGTGGCAATTTGACTACTATGTCAACATAACGTATTCACAATAGAAATACATGTAGCACATGTCCCTACGGTGACTGGTCAAATTGTTCCATACGCAAAAATATCCTGCAATAGCAATCACCTGTACCAAATTGCTACACTTATGGTTCTTATTGTTTTTAACATATTGTAAAAGCTGCAACTAAAATAACATGATATTGGAATATATTATTATAATAATTTCAGGTACAATTTCTTGCAACCATTTCATCAAAATTCTTTGAAGTTGTATCATTGGGTACCTGTAGATTGGAGAACACATGTGTGCAGCTGGTTGATATTTCCGGCTTAGTTTACAAGAAAATACACACAGTAATCTTTATCTCTGCCCATATAACAATGTCTTGGAGAGCAGGAAATGTAACTTAAATGGTAAATCATCATGTCTTGTGATGATTTATGTCAAATTTCATCTTTATAACAACCAAGTTTGTAGGATTACAAGGTTTTTTTTCAAACACACGATATTTTTTTTCACACTATGAATCATAAACTACAATTGTAAACTCTGAACCTTGCTTCGTAGATCGTGTTAGGTAAGCAGATCATGTACTGTTGTGTTGGTCATCTATCCCCTACGACTCCACCTCGGTTAAACCGCTGATCGTCTATAACTCCTACAAATTATTTGAACACCAAAGGTTGCGTTGTAGCACCCTTCAATATAGCCTAACTCCGTCATAACATGCGTTAATGCATGGTTCCCAAAATTTATGTACATTTTTTAATAAACTCAAGTTCTACACTGACACAAAGTCTTTTCCCCATCGCATAACATTATTTCCAGATGATCACTGTGATAACGCAACACAGAAAGTACCAATCAACATATCCGAAATGGAAGTCCACAATTTAATCCTATTATTACAGTATCTGGTTATAAAAACATGTTCACGTATATCTGGACTTATTATCATTATTATTATCTTATTTTTTTCTCTAAAATTACATTCATATTATTTAGATTGATTTCGGCGAAATTGTGTGGGATTGGTTGATAAATAACTCGCCATTATTTACAGCAACCACGGTCAGATTGCTGCTACTGACGCCTCAAAACGAACTTTAGTTGACAGGGAATGGATACACATATCTTAAATGCCATACTTTGACTCGTTAAAAGTCATATTTGTTATAGTCTGACATATGTGAGCCTCTACGGTGACTTGTGTGTTCAAATAAAATATTTCATCAAAGCTAGGCCAAGCGAAGCTTTTAAAGTCGGCACTAGACCTACCTCGCCTTACAACTTCAAAGAAATGTAGTCAACTGTCCATCATTCAATTTCCAAGAAACATGTGCCATATATGGAAGTCTTACTATGATTTATCAATGAAACAAGCCTGGTTCTCATTGTTGTTTAACTGCCTGACATCGAAGTGTATTAATCCCATTGGTTGACTGGTGTAACTGTATGCAAATTAGAGTGCCATTCTGTGACACTAGCAAAATGTTAGCCAATGAAATATTGTAACATGACCACATAATTACATTCTTGCGAAACTTCATTTCACCAGTTCACTTTGTATGCTCTACTTCTCCACGGGCATGCTAGAAAACATATATTACTCGCTCGACATCTAAACTTTACTTTGCACGGGCGTCGGACAATGGTATTTTTTCAACCCCTGCTGAGTGTCGTGATACCTGTGTGTGTGATTTGTACCAATCAAAAGATACGAATCAAGGGGGTTAAAAAATTAAGCTGAATTGTTTCAGAAAGCTGACACCAGATTGGCTGAAGAACCCATGTCTTCATTGAGATTGCCAAAGTTTGCCTTAAAGAGTGGCTGAAAAGTTCTGAGCCAAACTATGATGGAATGTGTTGGAGTTGGTTGCTAATTTTAATTTTACAAAATCCCCTCTGGGGTCCTCTGCCAACTCTGCCTGTGGGCCTGGATTCCATTGGTGCAGGAGGTTTCCTCCTGACGATGTGAGTGTGTGAGTGACTAAGGTTTTACGCTGCTTTTAGCAATATTCCAGCAATATCACGGCGGGGGACACCAGAAATGGGCTTCACACATTGTACCCATGTGGGGAATCGAACCCGGGTCTCCGGCGTGACAAGTGAACACTTTAACCACTAGGCTACCCGACCGCCCCTCCTGATGATGCCACGTCATCATTTGCATAATGCTTGCCGGACAGTTTTTTCTTCAAGCTTGGGAAGAGATGCTGATGCCAAATCTAGTGAATATGAAGGATGTTCAATGAGTCACAGTCATGCATTGCAGCCATGGCAGACAGACTTGAGCACAGGTGCATTGCCCTTGAGGAACAGCACACTTTTAGTCATGTTTTTCATGATGTTTAGACTTGACATTGTCATGCAGATGCCTAAGCAGATGAGCATAATATTGGGCATGAATGGTCTGACTTTTTGGGAGGTAGTCCTTTGGAATCCCAGAAACTGAAGCCATCAGATGGAACAGACTTTGCCTTCTTCTTCGTCAGAGAAGTTTCCACGGTTTAGTTTAGTTTCTGACTGCTAGTGGTGAACCGAAGATTACATGGTTACAGATTGCTCAACAAAATCAGGTGGGTCTGCTTTGGTGTAAATTCTCTCAGGAAATTATGAACCTGGAGTATTTCTGATCAGGGGTCAGAAACCTTAGAACTTTTACTTCTCAAACTGTCTTTATACCCAGTTAATGCCTCCGAATGTTCTCAACTCTCTCATGAGAGATGCCTGCTGTATTGGTTATGTGACACAAAGTGAGTTGTCGATCATCCATAACCAAATCATGAATTTTATCAACATTTTCCATGGTCTTGGTAGTTTAAGAGGTCTTCCTGATCTTGGATCATCTTCAAAACTCTTTCTTTCCCTCTTGAACTCCGCCGCAAGGCTCCTAACAGTGGCAAAGGAAGGAGCATCATCCACCTAAGCTGACACCATGCATGCTTGATGGCTGTTGAAGCCCTTTAAGCTGCTAGTTTGTCCATTTTCACCAAACACCTTGCCACTTTGATGCCTGGAGAAATATGCTGCCTGGTTGTGTTTTTGTTTCAAATGCAGCCTGTAAGCATGGAAAGTATTGTACTTAATACATGCAAACTGTTCAGGGTGTACTATACATCCTTTGTAGTTAAGCTCAGAACCTTTTAGCCACCAAAAAAACTTTTTTCCAGAAAAATACTCACCTCTTCTTGTGCCAGAGTTCTGATACAAGCCTGTGATAGCCTCGAGACAGCATGGGGCTCCTCTCTGGCCGGACAAATCCTGGACAGTCTAGGAAATATCGTGTCAGGGGCGGACTGCAAGTTATGACAGGAATGTATGACAGTAATGTTTTAATAGTGCTTGTTATCAAACTGGACTCAAACATGCATCAATCTATTTGTAAAACACACAGCCCAACAAGGTGCAAGCAAAATATTGACAATGTTTATCACCAGAGGAAACACTGAGTGAGTGAGTGAGTGAGTGAGTGAGTGAGTGAGTGAGTGAGTGAGTGAGTGAGTGAGTGAGTGAGTGAGTGAGTGAGTGAGTGAGTGAGTTAGTTTGGTTTAACACCGCTTTTAAAAGTATTCCAGTTATATATCGACGTGTCAATGTGGGAGGAAAGCCCGAAGTGATGCAGGTCTCAGACGTTTACCACTTGGGTGAAACCCACGAGCAAGGTCAACGTTGTTAGAATACAACACTGATTCGTCAATTATGAATGCAATGTGTTGCCAAATGCTATACTGATTTACAAAATTGGAATAACACATCATGAAAATGAGACATTTCTGAATTCTGAAGCAAAGTAAGGCTACAAATGTGTTGACATCTACAATTATAATTTTGTCATCATATGGTTCTAACATGTTTAAGGGACTAGGGGTGACTATTGGTCTGGAAATCACAATTGCGATAACTATTGATATTGAAAGAAACTATTGCGATAACTATTGATATTGCAAGCAACTATTGCGATAAATATCGATAGTTTTCAATGTATCATTTTAGATGGATTTTAGAGTTGAATCAAACCTAGGAACTGAAGTTTCCTTTGAATCTGATAACCATAACAACAAATTACTCCACTTGACTGTCACCCTCCGCCATTTTACTTTAAGAAAGACTGGTTGCTAAGCATCAAGGTCAGTTCATCTAATCCTCACTTGGCTGTGTTCGTGAGCATGTTTCGGTGACTCAATCACATGATATGGTAAATACAATTGAAACTATTGATATTCATTTACGAAATTGATACTTTTGAACGGAAACTGATTTAACAATTGATTTATTGACTTTAAGTGCTTACCAATAGCAATATATCAATATTTCGATTTATCGTGACACCCTTATAAGGGACAATGGCTATTAATTATGGGTTTAAAAAAACAACATAAACTGAAAGTTTGTCAGGGGTCTGGGGGACTAAGTGATTTATGCCCAAATTCTGGTAATGGCATGTTTTCATTGGACCCCTGGTGAAACAAAATTCCACAGAATTCCAGGGATTCATCGAAAAATTCTCATTAAACAAGAAGACATTTCATAATAACTTAGTCATAAGTAAACATGGTCAAAATTAACTGTACATTTTAAATAACATTTCTAATCTATGGTACCACGACTTAATATACCATAATATTCTATCCATAATCTGGAAAAACTGCTGTACCCCAGATATTAAACAGCCTGAGATATTTAACAGTGTGAAAGAGATATCTCACCAGTTGGAGAGGGCTTGCAGAGCTGCATTCATGTAGCATGTATTGCCCAGATTCTGAAGACCTGTCAAACCTGAAAATAGTAAACAAAAATTTGGTTTAATGCCACTTTGAATGCATGCTGGTTATCATGGTTATGTGAGGATGTGTCACCTTGATGTGGGAGGAAAGACAGAAATTATGAGTGAGTTGGGATTAAATTAATGCTGCTTTGAACAGTATTCCAGTTGTATCACGGCGTGTCAAGTTTAATGAGGGTTGGTTGGTTGGTTGGTTGGTTAACACCGCACTCAGCAATAGTCCAGCTATATGACGGTGGCCTGTAAATAATGGAGTATGGACCAGACAATCCAGTGATTAATATCATGAGCATCGATCCACGCAATTGGGATCGATGACATGCATCAACCAAGTCAGTGGGCCTGACCACCCGATCCCATTAGTCGCCTTTTACGACAAGCATAGTCGCCTTTTACGGCAAGCATGGGTTGCTGAAGACCTGTTCTACCCCGGATCTTCACGGGTCAGTTAACATCACTTTGGGCTTCTTATTTTTTCAGTTTAATGAGGGAAGAAAGCCAGGAGTGATGTAGGTTTTAGATGTTTACCACTTTGGTGAAACCAACAAGCACGGGTATGGTGCTGACAAACCTAGAAACATAATTCCACAATTCCACAATTACCTTCCACATTAAGCTAGAATCCTCAACTCACTAACACGTTAAAAAATAATTTTGTATCTAGAAAATATTATCTTCTTCCATTAACTTTCTTTTAATTCATATTTTACATATTTACCTACTATCTACACAGTGGTTGATCTAATTAATTCACAATATCCTTTATTTGTTAGTTTATTTGTAGATTGATATAAACTAAAGAAAGCAACTCCTATATCATATTATATCTCTTCACATGCGACTCCCCACACTCAGTACTGTACACAATAAATTATCTGGTGTTATTTTTTTAACCACAAAGCATAACCTGAAACAATAACATTAGCAAATTCAATTGACTTGCAAACATCAACGTAGTTTGTGGTCAGCCTGTTGTGTTGCACTTTGGGCTGTTATGATCCGTTGTTTATTGGAATCCATAATGTTTCGGTCTCAAATAAGAACTAGATTTAGTCAATGTAATTGTGTGATGGAACACTTCTGAAATTAATTATCATTAAACAGGAAGCAATATTTGCATTTTTTGTTCAAGCTTTATGCTGCATATTTCTTCACTTGGAATTTTGTGATGAATATTTTCTTGATTGGCTAGATGTGAGAATTCCATGTCATGTAGCAAATACAAGCTCCCAAGAAGGCAAGTACTGAAACTTTATTCTGATTGACTGCCACTGATAGCTTGCCACACAGGCTGATCTGTTTATAGATATTGGGTTTTCAGATCTGTAAAGAAATATAGGTGTGCAAGTTGAAAAGGGGTGTTGTTATACATCTGGGGTTTTGAAATTTTCATGTATTTGTACACAAACATCTCAAAATGAACAATTAATGGTGAATTTTTCTGCATATCTTACGCAAATATGTAGCTTATTGGAGCTCTGAATCTAGAAACCTAATCAGGGTGAATCTGGGATTCAAACCCATAATCACAGGGTTCTGGCATGCCTGAGGGAGACAACTCTGAACAGCAATAAGCATGTGTAATCATAATGAATCAATCTCATTCCAAACTACACAATGATTGTCTTATCAGTTCCAGTCATCTCTTTCACAACATGAAGTTGAAAGAAACAAACAAAAACTTTTATCCGAAAACAATTTGAAAGCTTAAGTTTTTCTTGTACTAATTGACCAGTTTGGAACTTAATCATGTTAATTACCTCGTGGTCTGCCATTTTCATCATCCATATCAGACTCAGAATCGTCAAGTCCTGAGATACTCCTCTGAGGTGAGCTATCGTTGGAGATGTCAGACCTGTTGCCACAGCTCATTGAGCTGCTCATTGCCTGGGCGTTCTCAGGGATCCTGCATAACACAAGGGAACGACTACATTATCAAGGACTGGGAATGATCCAGCATTTTGAGAGGGGAGGAAGAGAGAACAGGAAAGATTGACACAACTGATGTCATGTCATAAAGGGAACAACAGATGGAGGAACTCACTCACTCACACACACACACACACACACACACACACACACACACACACACACACACACACACACACACACACACACACACACACACACACATGAATTTGATGGCTACAGCTAGTGACTAGTGAGCTACTCACACAAAAGGTGGGTTGTTGTTGTCAGGGAACACTTCACACTCACAGAAGCTGCACCAGATGCGAAGTGTTGTCAGGTTGATGGACAGAGTGTGGCTTGTCTCCTGAAATCAAAAGTTATTTTATTCTCAGGGGTGTGCATCATTGGGGATTATCTTTTGTTACTTGTAGGTTTGTGTTGTGCTTGTGTTTGGGGGATTGGGTATAGAATGTGATTGAGGTGGTATATGCCCCAAGGATAACATAAGTGCTTAAATGTGGCACCATGTGTTTGAGACGTGGATTAGCTACATATTTGATGTAGTACAAAGCAGCATTTCCCATGATGTTGAGGATGCAGTTTTGCACCACCAGCACAAAGCCTGACACAGTATGACGGGGCAAGGTGTCATTGATTGAAATGTTAGTATTGATCATAGATCACAATTAGATATTGTTGATAGATCGACTCAAAAGCACCATGATACACATATGGATACACTGATTAATGATATGTGTATGGATAAAAATTACCTATGTAGGGTTTGTTTGTTGTTTAACGCCATACCCAGCAATATTCCAGCTACATGACTTTATCTGTTAACACTAGGGTAAACCATGACTGTAATGCTGTGAACAGTACCATACATATGAACATGTTTCTACCGATCCTTAGAAAAAAAGAAGTATATTGACATACTGAGGAATGGAGTGAGCTGTGATCCTTGACGAGCTCCCCACATCCAACATACTGACACTGTCCAATGATACATAGCCACAAGTTTGAGCCTTTCACACTACAAGAATGACATTCTTGGTCCTGAAAAACAAGTGGTTTAGACATGTAAGAGGGTATTAATTCATCTTATTATCTTAGTTCATAATAACTTAAAGGTTGGGCCGAGACTAACTGTCAAAGTCAATGAGTCATTAATTTGCTGTGGCTGTGAGATATCATACAAATATCAAAAGAGGACATTGATAAGCATATTCAGTTTGGTACCAGGAAAATAAGCAACCAAGGCCATGAAGATGTAGTTTAAGTTATTTCTGCATAGAGTGGATCGCCAATCCATGCCCTTCAAAATTACAAAACAAGAATATTTGTGTGACTCAAGAAATGCCTTTAACCAGTTGATTACGAGTGGCCCAGTTGCATTAACATGATAAAGCACTGCAATTCACTGTGCAGAGTTGTGTCCCTCAAACGTGCCAGAACCACAGGGTTATCATGATTATAGGTTCGAATCCCAGTTTGCCAAGATTATGATTGTAAATTTGTCAGCCATACTTATGGGTTTCACCAAAAAGTGTTAAATGTCTATGAATAGCATCACTTTGGAGTTTCCTTCCATGTCAAGCTAATATAAACAATAATCAAACAAATATACTCTCTTTTATCATCACATGATCTGTAATATATGTCACAGGGATAGAAATGTAGTTTTTTCAACTGTGCCACAGGACATGCGTAAAGATATCTATCCCAGGTGTTCACTTTGTGACAACTACAAGCAAAATATTTATCCAAGGTTAGACAATAAACAGTTGTAGTTCTGAACATTTGGCCCCACCCATTTCACTGAAATTGATTATACCATTTCTTAGTAACCAACATTTTCTTTCAACATATTTAGGCAAAGGGAACTTATTTTAACTATGCCATCACAAGTTTAACAGAGCTATTGGCACTAAAAAAAAGGAATTTCAAACCCTACATGAACATATAAAAACTAAGCATGGATGTATAACATGCAACCTACATGTTTTGCCTTCTGTTTGACTCTCAACTCTTCCCAGTTAACGTCACCAATCCCTCTCACATGAGAGCATGTGGACGGACTTGTTGGCATCTTGATCTTGACCCTTAACAAATAGATAAATACATGTTATAATCCCTTGACCACAACATATAAAATACATTTCACAAATTGTATCTTATTTTGCATGGTTTGTGCATGTTACGTTCCTTATATTAAAAAATCGGACATGGTTTTGACTGGCTTCCTAAAGTAATATTTGACTATAATATTAACTTGTAGTTATTTTCGCCATGTAACGAATGATGCTATAGTCACACCAACAGGACATTTAAACATGTTAACATGACCATCAAGCCACACAGAACATGGTTTTAATTTCGATATAAATGTATTATTTATTACTCGTGTGTCTACTAAACTGAAAATATATCGATTAAACACGTGACCAGTTGACACAGAAGTCGCACATTCGTGTGTAACAGGCTGACTCAAGGATTTTGAAACATTTTCAATCGACATCATGAAACGTCATACACAAATTTACATTTGACACGGCTATTACTCACTTATTTGTCGTGGAAATGTAATCCGGGGAGGGTCTAATCGCAACAAGTCACATTATCAAATGTGATCTTGCCACAATTGGAGTCCTGCTATGATCAAACCAAATTTGCTAAGGATACCACTACCCGGTGCAAGTTATGGCGACGACCTATGCTAGCGCTACAGGAAAAGGGGGGAATAACTCTATTTCACTCATTGTTCCAACCGCTACAAATTGTTTCATAACTATGAGTATAAATTTATAGTCATGTATTTTGTAGGTTTGTTGTTCTAGTCTGCTTGTACTGAGCACAAAGTGACATATCAAGGAGATAATGGATATCAGCTGATGTAATGAATAATGTTTAATGCCACTTATATGATATTTTGGTTCCGCGATTAGTAAGGCAAATGAACCTTCCAGAAAGGAAAAGAATTTACGATAAGACACTTTTCGTTGTCAATTTCATATCATATGTGATTATATAAAATTATAATGGGGACATAATGGAATGAGCGATCAGAGTTTGAGATGTGATATACAAATATTTAAGATTACATTGCCATTACTTCATCGAGAAAAGAATGACGTCATCATTCAGTCACAAAACACTAAAAACAGGGGCCCTGGTTAAAACCGTAATTCGCCAAAAGGGCACAAAAAGATCCTGGTAAAAAAAATAGATCGGGGCCAGTGCATAACGGAATAGCCTAGTAGTTAAAGCGTTCGCTCATCATGCCGAAGAGACGGGTTCGATTCCAGACATGGGTACAATATGTGCGAAGCCCATTTCTGGTGTCCCCCGCCGTGATATTAATGGGAAAATTGCTAAAAGCTGCGTAAAACCATACTCACTCACTCTTTATTACTGGGCAACGTAGACATTTGCCAAGAGAGAATATTGACTTATTTCTGTTTTAACAAAATGAGGTAATACATCTGTTAATACATCTGATTAATACTCGCTGTCAAAAATATTCTCACACCAATATGGCAAGCATTTCGAATATTCAAACATGTCATTGTCAGTAACACCTTCATATGTACTACAACAAATTATGTAAGAGATATTCAAATTCAGTCCGAGATATCGCGTTGTTACACGCACTGATAAGACAATTTATCTCTTTTGTAAAATTCAATTCGAAATAATTGATAATGAATCTGATATATATATAAGGTGCACTTAAAGTACAAAAGATTCAAGTACATAAATAGGGAAACAATTAGCTCATGTTTGACAAGTTAGTCAGTTGATTGTTATTTTGACGAAAACTTGCCGGCGAATTGTTTAGATATGTGTTTTTTCTCCTTTTTATCAGCAACATGATAAATACGCATCCCTGCAAACTTCCTTCCACCCTCCATACCACCTGAATCCACGTATGGTTTAGTTTGTATTCTATTTTAAGACCTATACCTACTTGTGTTTTCTGGACGTTGGGTAAACATGATAAGATAGTAATGTCCATGTTCAAGAGGTTTACTGTGGTAAAATACACGTAACTAGACTCAATACGGCTCCTGGGTAGCCTTCATTGCCACTCCAAATATTATACTGTTATTGAAATTGAGCGAGTAAAATTTGCCGGCATTTGTTTTATCTCCAAGGAAATACAACTATTTAGTTATATTATCTTTAACATGTTTAACAATGACGCCAGGGGTTCAGTACACAGGAACTCATAATAGGTCAGTAAATGAAATATATACCCCATAAATGTAAACATATAACTATCCAACGAGTTCCCGTAGTTCAGTAGAACTGTATGGGCATCTTAATTTGGTCACGTATGACGTAAATCAGTTAACACGTGCTAACATTGATCAACCAAGGTTATATCTCGGTCAACACTGGTTCACCTCGGTCGTCTGGAGTTTTTAAATAAAACGCGAGCCCAGAACAACATAACAACATGTACTACATTCAGATCTACTCGGAGTTCTCAGCGAACATCGACAGCAGATGTTCCGATTGCGCTTGGTGATCCTCCTTCCTCCGGACGAGTCCAAATCCTCACGGGGACGTAGGTTTATCTTAATTACGACGCAAAATATTATAATATATATTTTTTGCAAATTCCAGCGTTTATTTTGTAATTCAAAAGTAATGGTATAACACATATTCTTTTGATTTCCTATGTTTGATATGTTGTTTGGGATTTTCGTACTAAATAATTAACCTGTCACCCCTAATGTAATAGAATACAGACCGCCACTTGAGGAAGGCAACAGAACCCAAACAGTGAGAAGCATGGCGGATGATATTCCTGTGTTTCCCAAAGCGGGCACCTTGCAAGTTCACAGTGGTAATATTGTTAATTGGAACAGACTAAAGAGGAAGCCGAATCAGACATCGACGGAGGAGGTGAGTTGTCATTATCGAAAAATGCCGATAAATGTTCTAATGATCAATTTGAATGATGGAACGCACCGTACGAACACTTCAAATCCCATCAGGCCTATGTTGCGTGTAGTGAAAGTGCTTCATCATCTTGAACGACGCATCTAGAATTTTTGTTGTTCAATGTTTGCTTCTAATAGACAAAAAACCTGTTATATATCTGTTATAGTGTATTTCTGTCGTTAACGACACGAAGAGTGTCTGATTGTACAAACTCGATGACAAGATTGTTTCACACCTGTTTAGACGGGTAATTACATTGAAACAACAGTATATTCCTTGATATGCAGGTACGTTATCAGTTAGTTGTAATAACCCAAATCCCACCCCTTTTATTTTAGTCGCAACAGAGTCCATGACTACACGTCCCACCAGTTCTTAATGTACATACTAACATGTAGGCTAAATACACAAAAAAAAACATTTAAGGATTGAAGTTGTATTTGTTGACGTTCATCAGCTGATGAAGACAGTGCCTCACGTGAGCAAATTCCATGATGCGCGTAGCACTTCATGGTAAATGAAAAGGAACCAGACCCACTACTCCTACTACTACTACTAATAGTGCTGAATTGAACAAGTGATGCAATATGTTTCTCTTGAAGTTTTTTCGCTCACAAAGTGCACACTCAAAATGATCATGAAGCCACTGTGCAACCTTATTATTTTCTGACAACCGTTGAGAATAAGTTGATGTTACAGATTCACAGTCTCTCAATTTTCTGTTAGTATCAAGAAGATTATTCCAATCATCCAATCTGCCCCACCCCATCCCCCATGAAAGACTCAGATTGCTGTTCAATATTTCACACAAGTTCACTGTACTTTACATTCATTAAATATATGTTTAGTTATTTATTGTAACAAATATATATAACATCATAATTGTTCCTCCTACCTACGTTGAAACTACGTTTTTTAATGATAATAAACACGTTTCAGTCTCACATACATGACATTGACAATGTTAAATGGTTCAGCCTGACAGTTATTTTAGTATTTTTAAAACTTTAAACACATATCATAGTTTGTCACTGCAAAAAATACCCCAATGTCAGAAATATATTCTCCAGTACAACATTCTTACATTTACTGCTTCAAATTACGAGGATTGTTGCTGGATTGTTAAAAACAAATACTGTTGTGTTTGTGAAACATGTCCGAAGGGAAGTAACTGCGTAGTTCTGTACTAACTGTATAATGCTAATAGAAATAGGGTGGGGTCCGATATATTGTCCCTTATAAATTACATCTACAACACACTAAAAATTATAACAAATGATTGCAGAAGAAAATAAACCTATTCACATCCGAGTATTCGGCTGTATTGATAGTTTTAAGAATAACAGTTGACTTCATCAATGTAACTCAACTTCGAAGAAAATTCTTAAAATAGCAGCTTATGAAATACGCACGCAACCTTTACCCTAAGGTTTGTGAAGTACTCTGATTTTCCCGCTTTCTGCATTAATCAATGAGTTTAGAGATGGGATTTTGAACCGACCCTCTGAGGTGTGGTAAACTAGCTTTGAGAATAATTGCAGGAAGAGTTACCTCCTCTTGCCATGAGCATTGCTACGGGAAGCCATGACGTCATGACGTCATCTGTCCCAAACATTCCATTTGGAGTGACGTCCCTTGGTTTCTACAAACGGTAGAAAATGGCGGCTACGGAATGTCAGTCACTTGAAATGAGCACCCAGAAAAAGTTAGTGTTGGAAAGAAATCCAAACGCGGCTGATGCTGAAAATGGATTGATATTAACGTTCTGTGAACTTTGGGTGTGTGTTTGAGTCATACTACGGCTGCTGTTGACGGGGATTACCGCTTGAGGCGGCGCGGTTGGATTTCCCGAAGCAATACACGGCAGTGTGGAGCTCAGGGATTTCTTTTGGTAAGTCGAAGCTATAACAGAAATGCTCGACTTACCAAAAGAAATCCCTGAGCTCCACACTGCCGTGTATTGCTTCGGGAAATCCAACCGCGCCGCCTCAAGCGGTAATCCCCGTCAACAGCAGCCGTAGTATGACTCTGTTATAGCTTCGAATGGACGCTTCATTTCGACATATGATCTGTCTAGCCTCAAAGCCCACATCATTCAAAGCCTGAATCGATGTCATCAGTTGTCCCTAATGATTTTTAATGTTATTTTTAGACATTGTGGAATTCCCCTAAAGTAGTTCTGTATGACTCTACTCGATTGACAATGTAATCACGTGACATACTGACGTTCATCTGGAAATGAATGACACTCAGCTTGGTAGTGTTCACCTAGGTGAGGTCACCAGCTACTGTCAATATTAGGAAATATAATAGAATTTTCTTCAAGTACATATGAAGACGCAGGGTTATAACTTAACACTAGCGGCCTACCTTTAGAATACAGTACCACAAACTTTTCAAACGCATGACAATACCCTATGATGTATTTTGTTGCAAGTCACACCGGTGAAACAATGCCCTGTGACGTCAGGGGTCAACGAGTGTGCATAACCTCCTCTCATTGATCTATCATCTCTACAGGCAATGTTATTGAATACGCCCAGTGGTCTTGAGAGTTTTGAATATGTGTTTACTAAATAAAGACTGTGGCGGCGTATTTTATAGCAAGCTCTAGTTTACAAAAACACTTTTATTTTATATATATATATATATGTATTAGTTCCCATTTATAACCATTTTACCTTCTTGAATTACGGGGGCAGTCGGGTAGCCTAGTGGTTAAAGCGTTCGGGTTCGATTCCTGACATGGGTACATTGTGTGAAGCCCATTTCTGGTGTCCCCCGCCATGATATTGCTGGAATATTGCTAAAAGCGACGTAAAACCATACTCACTCACTCTTGAATTACGAGAAAATAGGCACTCGTGTGTTATGTGCACCCTTACATATTGGCAATTAAATTCTGGAAAAATATTTCTGTCGTATATAAACATTTCAGGCTGTCAGCATAAACCATGAAATTTATCCTGTAACTGTTTTTTTTCACCAAAATATTATTCTAAAAAGAGCCCCCTATTTCTAATTTTGAGAGCGCCCTGGGCGCTTATTACGTCGAATACGGTATATAACATAAATTGCCAAAAAGAATAAAGAACAAAGCATGGTATTTTTCCTGATAAAACATTGGTTTATCATGACTTCATTTCTTGAGATTTGTATATGAGCACGCAACTTAATGATGTCACATATTTGACGACGTTAGTTTTGAGAGGTTAGTGTCTTGTAAGTTGTTCCCCATGTTGGGAGAGATATGACAACCAGTATTAGGAGAAAAGGTGCAGATAATCAACGTGAGGATTGTGAGAATATGCAGGAAATATCAAACTTGGCCCACCTAAATGGACTTGTCTGACATTGCAGAGAGAATAAGCCACTCGGAGCTGCGCCCCTCATGGTTTATTCTCCCTGCAGTGTTTTGTTATATGATAAGCAACTCCCACCTGTTGTTTCTTTCTTAAATACAATGACTCTACTGTGGAAAGCTTTGACTCAATTAAGAAACATGATGACAGTTGTATCTGACACTCTCTGGCCTTATCTACAGCAAATATCAGTTAACTAAAGATAAAAAGCCTTATATCATGTTAATATATTACATTTAGTTTGACAGTATTACATGCAGTGTTAAATTATCTAGCTTTATAAAAAAAATAAGGCTGATCATGTTCATAGAAGTCCTAATTAAGATAAAATGATCAAAATCCCTTAAGAGCTTCATGAAATGGAATTGGGAATTGAGAGTGATATCATTGAGCATGTTGAGAATAAGTTGTCATGTATTAGATCAAAAGCTGAAGCTCAACCAAAGAAACTTTGTAGTTAAGATGGGGTTTCGAAAAAAAAGGTTGATGATTGTACATTGTCATAATAATATATAAAAAAATTACTGTTGAAGAGTGTATCATGTGTTTAAATTGTCAAAATCATTTACTTTGTTCCAGCTTAAGGAATGCATTGAAGCAGCCTTGAATAAATTTCTGTCTACGGCTGATAAAACTGAACTACAGGTGAGTATTTTTACATTAAGCAAGTAGAATCTAATTTCCTATCCAGGGGCAGAAATAGGTCCCCAGGCTCCCATGCTTATTGTAAGATTTAGTTAAATGAAGATAAGGATGTCTCACTGTATGGTCCAGCTGACTGTGTGGCATTATATCCCACAAGGGTGAATCAGGGCTCTTGCTGTCAACTACTGGTGTAGCCCTTAAATCGCAACAATGTACTGCTCTGCTTTTACTAGCCGACACCTACTTGTAGTACATTCAATATTTTTTACCGACTTAGTTAAATTTTACCAGTACATGGCCTATTTTACAGGTAAATTATTGATAGGCCTGAATGCCTCGGCAAGGGAGATAACTCTGAAGTACACACAAAAACATGGTCCGATTTTACTCATGAAAGGGGCCATCATTTTACATGCTCTGGAACTGTTCAGGAGCTACCAAGGGCAGATAACTCAAGATATACTTAATTAACTGTACATTTGGTAATGGACATTGTTAGATGGTAAGTTTATTTATGTGTTGTTTAACACAGCACTAAGCAATATTCCCAGCCAAAATACGGAAGTCTGGAGCAAGTAAACCAGTGATTGGAATTATGACAAGGACCTACACCATTTGGGCACGTGGACACACAATCAGCTAAATCACCAAGTCTGCATCATTCATAATATTTAATGGAACAGTTTCTGTCTTCTTGTAGGGATGCTGAGTGATTCGTTATCCACTAATTAAGTGCTTCTTACTGGACCATTTTGGTTTCAGGACATTCTAACATGCAGGAGAAGACTTGTTTAAATTTCATATGAACATGTTCTGTACTTGTGAAGATATTTGCTTATGACCATGAATGTACAGTAAACTATGGTTATAACGCACTCAAATGGAGCACTAAATCTAGTTCATTATAAGCATGTATACAGCATATACACAGCAAATTGCCGTGACCAAAAAGACAATTCGTTATATCTGTCAGTTCATTATAAGCATGTTCGTTATAAACATAGTTAACTGTATGTGCATTTGTGGTTTTATTACATGCACTGTATACAGATTCATGTAAGACATAAACCAGTGTGACATGGTTTTTTGACAAAAATGGAGGAGTGAGTTTGGTTTAACGCCGCTTTTAACAGTATTCCGGTTATATCACGGCGTGTCAGCTTACTGTGAGAGGAAAGCCCGAAGTGATGCAGGTCTCAGACGTTTACCACTTCGGTGAAACCCACGAGCACGGGTAGGGTGCTGACAGACCTAGAAACATAATCGGGGCGAACCGGGATTCAAACCCACAATCATAGGTTTCTGGCGTGCCCAAGGGACGCAACTCTGCACAGCGAATCGCGGCACCTTAGATGATTGTGCCCTCGACAAAAATGGAAGTATGTAGTACACCGACAACTTCCCGAGGCAAGGGCGTTAACTGACATTGATTCCTTGCAGTACACCAACGATCTGCTGTGTGTCAACTGCGAATTGAAGGAACAGCTCGGCTATGAAGAGAGAGAAGACCTCAAGATCACTGGTACGTCTTCCCTCCCTACCATGAATACTAGGCTGCTGAACTCATGCTGTTTATGAAGCTGATACCCCGTGGTGTACAAGTTAGATCAGGGCCCCTTTTTGTAGCTCTGTGATACTAAGTTACATACTTTAACAAAGATTTACCCGGGTCCCCTGGACTTGACTGATGGTGTGTAATTGTGCCAGATTTTTTATCATGTTTTTAATCACTGTTTTACCTGGTCCAGACTGAATGAGGTGAAATGAAATGGGGTTTTACATTGTGTCAAGATTACTGCACTTATATGACGATGTGATTGCACATTTTTGTGTATGTATGTGGTTGCTTGTACTAGTCCATCTTCCCAAGGCAAGGGAGTTAACTGACTAAAGTCCAGGGTAAACTGTCCTGCAGAATTCGGTCGATTGCAGCATTTGCAAAGCATGTGCACCGCCAACTCGTTGTGAACAGATATTTTCCAAATCTTTTCATGTTTTTAATCAAGGTGCTCACGCATTGCGTGATGTAAGACCCGTTGTATCACAATATAGACCTTGATTATCGATCAGATCGTCTTGACTGGGCGCCACTGTTTTGTTTCAAGCAAATGTAAGTGATACGAGAGGTGGAATCTGATTGGTCTAAAGGAGAGGCTCAGAAGGGACATAACTCGTAATAGCCAGCCTAGTTCGGCAAGGGTGGAAACTGTACTTTTAAAGTCAGTTAACTCTCTTGCCTTGGGAAGATGGTACTAGTCTGGACTTAGTTTGGTTTAGTAGTGCTAGCCCACTGAGATAACATGCCGTAGTTTAACATGGCTACCCTACGCAGACATAGTATATTCATTCTGAGCCGACCAGTCCCCTTAATGTCAAGCACCAGGCAGGGTAACATCTATTTTAAGTACAATCTTTCAACGTCTTCTGACATGATGGGTCCAGGGATCGAACTGTGCCTCCACTCTCTCAGTAGACACTCTATCCACTGGACCACAGAGCAGTCTACCAGTATGAATTAGTGAGTGAGTATGGTTTTACGCAGCTTTTAGCAATATTCCAGCAATATTACGGCGGTGGACACCAGAAATGGGCTTTACACATTGTACCCATGTCGGGAATCGAACCCGGGTCTTTGGCGTGACAAGCGAACGCTTTAACCACTAGGCTACCCGACCGCCCCCCAGTATGAATGACTTACAGGCTGTTGTGATATAGCTGGAATAGTGCTGACCATGCTGTCAGGTGCAGAACCAACATGCACTCGCTCACTATTATGCAGGCATATTGGTTATGTAAGTTCTTTATACAACATGTACAAGGAAGCTGAATAATAAGTTTGTTTGACCTGTGTTTTTTCCACATTTCATTATGTCTTTCTGGATGGTTTCATGCATTTTCTAAGTGGGGCACATCATGGTTACACCTCTTGTATGTACTAACACATCTTGTCTTTCAGGGAAGCTGTTTTTATCGACTGAGCAGTCGCCGCAAGTTATCAGAGAAACAGTTGATAAGTGTGAGTATTTATGTGTTGAATAACATGAATATATATAGTACTCACCTTTTTGTTGGGATATTCTCAGTGACCAGGTGGTGGATTAATCTTGTTTGGAGATGTGTACAAGTAGGATGTGATTTGGGATGGACCTGATGCATGTTAAGCTTAATTTCATTATGAAGATTTATATATGGAGTTGAGTAGCATTGTTAATACTGATACATTTGAGTGAACTTAGGACTAATTTTGTCATTGTTTGGGAGAGAAGTGATGCTTGTATGCAACTAAGATTAACAACATGTTCAGTGTCTCAAGACAAACACCTGATTTTAAAAATAAAGTGGGACATGTGGCTAAGTGCATTGATCACTGCCGAGAGTGCATGTCTGTGATGCCTGCATTTGATCAGTAAATAAACTGCAGTAAGGAAATACCAGTTTCAACACCTGGAAATACAACAGTGGATCATTACACAATGTTCTGTTACTCTTTGATTTAGAAATTTTCATAAATTTTTATTCCCCCGATATTTTTCATGTTTTAAACTTAGACATTTTATTTACTTCAACATTTGTGCAACGTATAACTTGTAAACTACTGCCTAGAATCTTTCTAAAGAAAGAACATTTTCTATACCAATAGGAGAGGTACAGTGCGAAGTTTGATCTAAATATTTGGATTTTCTGAAAGAAATTCAGCTATGTTTTTTAGTTAAGCATTTGAGAGACCTATAATTTGAGAACTACTACATTGATATTTTTCAAGTATAAACAGAACTTTCTATATTCATGGGAGAGGTGCGGTGTGAAGTTCGATAATATGATTTTTTCATGTTTTGAACTTCAATTTTTTTTTACTTCAAAATTTGTGCGACCTATGAACTTGAAAATAACTTCATGTATTCTTTTCCAACTGTGGGTACAGTTTCTATACCAATAGCAGAGGTGCAGTGCAAAGTTTGATTTCGATATGTGGAACTTTGAGGAAATATTGCCTTCTTCATGTTTTAAACTTCAATGCAGTGTTCCCTCACTATTGCGCCTTTCAATATAGCGCTAACTCGGTTATAGCGCGCAGTAAAGCATGGCTCCCAAAATGTACTTACATTTTGAATAAACTCAAGTTCTACATGAACACGATGTTTTTTTCCTAACCCCCAAAAAACATTAGCAGCTGATCACCATGAGCACACAACACTAGAAATATCAGTCAACAATTCCGAATTGAAGTACGCAATTTATTCCCATTATTGTACTATCTGGTTATAAAATCATGTTCATTGTATATCTGGACTTATGTTTGTGATGGTTCTTATCATTTTAAATATATATCGTAAAAGCTGCAACGAAAATAACACAATATTGGAAAAATATATTATTCCTGATAAAATAAAAATTTCAGATAGATTCAGAGAAAACATGTATACAGCTGATTGCTATTTCTGGCATAGTTTATGAGAAAGTACACTCGTAACCTCTGCATAAAACAATGTCTTGGAGAGCAGGAAATACAATTTAAATGGTAATTCTTCATGTCTATTGATTTTTATCCCCCCGGCATATAATGCAGGGGGATATAGCGATCAGCCAGTCTGTCTGTCCGTCCGTCTGTCCGTCCATAATCATTTCATTTTCCGGGGCAGAATTCGAAAATCATTCAGTGAATTTGATCGAAACTTGGCAAATCTATCAAGCACATACTGAAGTTGTGCCTTTTGATATTTTGGGATTTTTCTAATTTTTATTTTTTTAAATTGTTATGGAATGAAGTTGGACATAGACTCAATTGGGAATGGGGTTCGTTTCCGGGGCAGAATTAAAAAAACATTCACTGTATTTGATTGAAACTTGGCAAAGCTATCAGGCACATACTGAAGTGGTGCCTTTTGAAATTTCGGGATTTTTCGAATTTTTATTTTTTAAAATTTTTATGGAATGAAGTTGGACATAGACTCAATTGGGGATGGGGTTCGTTTCTGGGGCAGAATTCGAAAACCATTCAGTGTATTTGATCGAAACTTAGCAAATCTATCAGGCACATACTGAAGTGGTGCCTTTTGATATTTTGGGATTTTTCTAATTTTTATTTTTTTAAATTTTTATGGAATGAAGTTAAACATAGACTCAATTGGGGATGGGGTTCGTTTCCGGGGCAGAATTCGAAAACCATTCAGTGTATTTGATCGAAACTTGGCAAATCTATCAGGCACATACTGAAGTGGTGCCTTTTGATATTTTGGGATTTTTCTAATTTTTATTTTTTTAAATTTTTATGGAATGAAGTTGGACATATTTATTTTACACTAGGAATCATAAACAACTACTCTTCTAATCTTTCTTTTAAACTGTGAAATGTGCATCGTACATTGTGTTAGGTTGGCAGAGCATGTACTGTTGTGTTGGTCATCGACCCCCTACGACTCCACCTCAGTTTAGCCTCTGATCATCTATAACACTCATCAATTATTTGGACCGCCAAGGTAGCGTTGTTGCGAGGGATCACTGTATTTTTATACCCCCGACCTGAAAGGGCGAAAAACTGCCTTCCAAAGTCACAAAGTATGAAATCCTGGATAAATCCCATCATGTATATCAATTTGTACCAGACTATCACTTCAGCATTTTATGGAACACTTTCCTTTACTGACATATTCCATGCTACAGTATTCCGGGAGCTGCAGACGGTGACATACTTGGAGACGTTGATGTTGGCACTGCCGGAGCTGGATGAGGAGATTACAGTGGAGCAGATCAAGCCCTACTGGGAGGTGATGGAGGAACTGGTGGAAGCAGAGACAGTTCTCTCCCTTGGCATATGTGACCTTGACAAGGCACGACTGGAAGAATTATATAACTGGGCCAAGGTAGGTTGTCTCTCATGGTATATGTGACCTTGGCATGGGTGAATCTACATTGTGCCAAGCTAGGTTGTCGCCTTTGGTATTTGTGATCTTGTCATGGGTGAGTGAAGGTAGTAGGGCTGGGACAGTCCAAATTTACTACCCGGGTACCCAACCCCCTATTACTCTACCCTACCCTACCCTACCCTACCCTACCCTACCCTACCCTACCCTACCCTACCCTACCCGGGTACCTGCTGTAAGTCTTAAGAGATAGGTACAAAATGTACCATAGGGACTAGTTTGACCGTAGCCCAAGATACACAAAAAGAATGATCTGGTCATGCAAACACAGAATTTGACTGAAGCTTTATCTTTATTCAAACATATGAAAGTCAGAAGGATTGTGTGCATAGTGAAAGAGAAATGTGAACATTAGTGACACATGTAAGTGACACATATTAGTGACACTTTAGAAACATTATATAACGTGACTAACCACGGGTCCGGGTAGTCCTGTAGGTATCTGGGTCCAACTCAGCACCCACCCGACCCGAGTTAGCCCCGGAAGGTAGGTTGTCTCCCTTGGTACTTGTGACCTTGACATGGCATGGCTAGAGGAAAACTGGGCCATGGTGGGTTGTCTCCCTTCGTATATTACAACTATACAGGCAGCTTGTTTTCATTGGAAATACAAATAATTGTCCAGCCACGAGTCAGTACCTGAGAAGCACTCTTTATGTTCAACATTGGTTTTGGTATTAGAAATGACCTAGTTTTACCCCAGGTTGAACAATGCAGAACCAATTTTTATATTAGTATTTGACACAACTGCTTGAAAAACTGTAAGGTTGAATGATTTAATGGCATTGAAATGTTAAATGATATTTTGTTCACATATTGCCATGTCTACATCGTGTTTGAATGTGTATTTGTTTGAAAATCTGAAACCAAAAACTTCTGTTGTCTCCCTTTAGCTACTCTGTGTGAGACTTTCTTTCTGCTTGAGACAAGATGGAAAACACAACCATTAAACATATTATTATTCATACACAGGAAAAAAATGCTGCTTTAGATATTCTGGATCTTTTTCATTTAGACTGAAAACTGACTAGTATATATTGGTGGTTGCAGGTGAAGCCATGTGTGAACCAGGTGAATCTGGCGTCATGCTGTGTGATGCCCGCTGATCTGACAGAGTACGCGAAACAGAATGATATCCAACTCCTCACACACAGCGACGAAACAGGTACATGTCGTTGACTTCCCAGTGTGTGACACCTTCATACCCCCCCGGGGGGGAAGGGTGGCCCAATCGTCTAAGGCGCCACAATTTGCTGTGCATAGTTGCGTCCCTTTGGCACGCCAGAAACCTTTGATTGTGGGTTTCGAATCCCGGTTAGCCCCAATTGTTTCTAGGTTTGTCAGCACCAAACCAGTGCTCATGGGTTTCACCGAAGTGGTAAACATCTGAGACCTGCATCACTTCGGGCTTTCCTCCCACATTAAGCTGACATGCCGTGATATAACTGGAATACTGTTAAAAGCGGCTTTAAACTCACTCACTCACTCACTAAACCCTCCGAGTATCATTGCTACCACCAGTGTGCAAGCGGCTATTGCAAGAATCTTGAAATATTTCCCTCTAACCCATGCCATTCTAGTGAATTGGGAACATGTTTATGACTGACTTACTATTTCCTGAATAATTTTTTCGTTTAACTGTTTGTTTGTTTAATCAGATTGGTTAGAGATTGCAGACTAAGGAAATTGCACCCATCATCAACCTTACATTCTCATTTAATTAATTACGTGATAGTTGAAATCAAAAAGGATTTCAAATTGACAAACAATGAACAAAGATACACATTGTTTGGGTTTGAATCCTAATTATTCCTTTCAGCAGAACATTAGCTTTTTGTTTGTGTTTGTTTGGCGCAAGACCAATCAGTTTGGATCTTGTTATCCTTTGTGTTTATTTGCCACAGAATCAATAAAGCGTGCTCTTGATTGTTGTTTGTATTTGTCTTTGGCAAGACCTTTAAGTTTTGATTTTGTTGTTTGTTTGTGTCAGAACTAGGAAAATTTCATGCTTATTTTTTATGGAATTTAGAAGATTTTATTTTCATTATTTGTGTTTGTGGCAGGACCTAGACAGTTTGATGTTTATTGTTGTGTTTGTTTGTGACAGGACCTAGACAGTTGTTTATTGTTGTGTTTGTTTGTGGCAGGACCTAGAAGGTTGGATCTTGATTATCATTTGTGTTTCTTTCCAGAGATCATGCCGGTGAAGACACTACAAGACTCCATTAAGGTGTGCGCGACAGAGAAAGACAGCGAACATTGGGAGCCTGCATGGACACTGCGATACTCTGTCCTTGTCAAGTGTCGAGGAATCGTCAAAACAAAGGGCTACATTTTCAAGGCAAACCGAATCGTGAAGAAGAAATCGCCATAAGATCTGTGTCAGCTAGGGACCTTATTTATGATTTGTACTGGATGTCTTAGTGATTTATGTGGGCTGAAACAAGAATAAGAAATATATATTAAGCACACTTTGCTTTTCATGTACATGGAAATTTTTAGTAACTATATTTGTCATATAATCATGATATAAGCAGGGTTAGATACGACCACTCGTCCATTAGTCAGAGACTTGGGTAAAACTAGAGGAACTAGTTGTATTCTTACAAAATCTAGTTTGTTTACATAATCCGCTCAGGTAGGCACTACTTTCAGTGTTCACAATCATAGCATCGTCCTTGTCTATTGGCAATCGAGTCAGAATTGACCATCGTGGATCTGGACAAACTCCCAGTTATCATCATCAATAATAGTCTTAACATGCCAAACATCAGACCTTTCACATGTTAAGGCATTTTGAGAGATACAAATTACGAACCAGCTTAACAGGACATCGGCAGGATCAGTTTCCAAACCTGCACCTCTGCTAGTTGGGGTCTGTTGCTGAAATTTAAACAGTTTCGTTTGGCAGAAACATGTTCGCAATATTACCTTGTTTCATTTTGCTGCTCTCTGGATATCTTACTGCATTTCATGACATTATGACCAACAGGGCAGAAACTTGATGTCTCATAGACTAGAGTAGCTTACCTTTGATAAAGGGCAAGTACTCTTAACGGACGGACCAATGGATTGCCACAAAATTATTTGTAGACAACTGTCTCTTTTGGACATACTGTAGTTATGCCACTGCCAGTAAAGTTAGTTGTAACTATATTACCTCTTGTCACTGTCTCACTGACTAATCACTGACCTTGTCATGTCATATATGAATGCGCACATTCCAGAAAACCTTGCTATGTTCAGGTACCTATGTGAGAGATGAGTGGTTATTCCTAATCCAGGATATTTACATCCAAAACACACTCGCATTATAACCCTATGAGTTAAATAATATTTGTGTAATTTTCATAATGGCAAGTGAGGGAATTTTCATCTTTTATGGGTCAGGAAATATTAGCATGTACATAGGGGGTTGCCAGAGAAGTGACATGCATTTGGGAGGGTAATAGTTTTTTTTATACATTAATAATCACACTTAATCTCAAGGATCAAGGGATCTCAAGGTCCATGTGAGCTTAGGGCATTGTGTGGCATCTGTCTGTTGTCTCTAAACATTGTTTCGAACTTGCTGAAGCTTGTGAGCCGGAAACAGTGATAGGATATCTAGGACCATAGGAGCTTTACAGAAATAAAATATAGATGTAGATATATGTTTAAGATTGACCAACTAATCTTCTTAGAAAATGTTTAAGATCATCTTCTCAGGATAGAGATTTATCAAGGTTTTTAAACTAAGCGCTTTTGGAAGACAAATTGAGAAAAGTTGTTCCTTTGTTCAAAATTGGGATTTTAAGAAAAATAATTTGTGTTTATGTATTGCAATACAGACCAAAATACATTTCATCTACACTGCGATGTTATCTTCAATTATTTTAATCATGTCGGACATTAGTATCATTGTTCCTATTAAGGAAGGAAAGGGCCAGGTAACATTGATACCTGAAGATTTAAGGGTTTAAACATTTTTTTCATATAAAATGTATCATATGTTATCTTCGTTTCACTTCCTTATTCTTTTGAATCTGTCGCCTCAAATGAGTACTAGACATGGGATGGTGGGAAGTCCCATCATGTCTTTTAAAACATTCTCAGTTAGCATGTGATGTTGTATATCAACCCAAATTATTTTCTTGTTTATTGAACTTAAACATGGCAAAATTAAAATAAGATAATTTGTGATGGTTGAGGATGTTTTTTTATTTTAATAAATAAATAATATCGAGAAGATTAGATATAACCTGAAACCAACCAAGACTACCTTTTTATTAGCTCACCTGGCTGATAGTCAAGTGAGCTCATGTCGTGGCATGTTGTCCGTCATAAACTTTTGCAATTTCGACATCTACTCTGACTTCAAGGCCTATGGAGCTGAAACTATGTATGAATGATCTCCACTATGGGTTCTCTGAAAAGTGCTCTTAGAATTTGGCAGCCATATTGAAAATGTCATTTTGGGCCTGGCCTGCCACCTCATAGATTTTTGTACAAAGGCTAGGTGGAAGCACCATACAATTGTATGTCAGGTGAGCTACTCAGCTTTGTGGCTCTATTCATTTGTTATTTTGGGCAACTTGACAAAGTAAAATATGTTTGTCCTGCCAAAATAAAAGAAGCATGTAAGCTCATGACCTTTGTTTTGTATGTCAGAATTTTCTCAGAATAATAAGACTTTTTAAACCATTTTCATGGACTTAATGCATTGAAATGTGTCACATGGCCATGTGCTTTGCTATTTATTGGGCCACCCTTAATAAGCTCTACCCACTGTGATTGATGCGGCCAATTCGATTTTTTATGTTATAACTACAGAAAATTTATTGACTGATGTCTATCCATGTATGGTGATTAGTGTTTCATTGTACATTGAATCACTAGTTTGTGAAACATATTGTCTCAGAATTGAAGACACACAAGTGGAGAAAATATTAGAATTGTGTGCCTATTTATTGATGGTGATGTCAATCTTCACTGCTTCTGATTTAGCAATGGATGCTTATGTATAAAGGAATATACTAATCTTTTTAAAGTAGCTTTGTCATATTAAAACGTGTACAAGTATTCCTGTGTTTATCATGTGGAGTAAAGAAAATCCAGACCAATGTGTTTGTTGATTTGTATTATTGCATGTTTAAACCTTGGAAAGTGGGTGAGTGAGTTCAGTTTAATGCTGCTTTGATCAGTATTCCTGTTGTCCCATGGCAAGCTCTATGTCTCCAGGGCTGGCATTTCGGTAAACCTACAGTAACCCCTGGACCCATAATGTGCGCAATCTTGAATTACCTGCCCTTGATTTCCTTTAACACTTTAACCACAAGTCAAAGGTCAGCAGCCATTTTTGAACATGACTGGTGTGAACTGGAACATTGTCCTGATGGAGCATAACACCATGTCAAAGTTTTCCCCAACGCTTCTCTTTAATACACTCCCACATAGTTTATAGTTGGCATAAAATTCACCATTCAATGTTCGCCCTGGTAAACAAATCAAAGGTGGCTATTACTTACTTATTGGATCAGGTTGCTTTAAACTTCTTGGTTTTGGGAGACCCGAAGTGTTTCCACTCTTTTGATTGTCAGCTCTGGGGATCACAGAGAGAGGTCGATCCCCTGTCACTAGCCGAGAATGATAACCTTTAGGGTTGCTATTATATAGGGTTAACAGAGCATTAGGGGTGGTGACTGTGTAGCCTTTATGTTATCCAGATGTGAAAATCCCAGTTAGAATTGGTCTTCAGCAACACATTCAACACAAATGGGATGGGTGAACAGGCTCTTTGTCTTGGTTGCTGCATGTCATCGTATCCCAAATGTGTATGTAGATCCAGGCTCATGATGTCGATCGCTGTATTGTCTGGTCAAGACTCTATTATTTTCAGACTGCCGCCATATAGCTGGAATATTGCTGAGTGCAGCGTTAAACAACAAACACGAACAAATAATTGTATCTGATGATTCCAGGAACCGATCATGCACAAACTCTGATGTATGTGGGTGTTCATTAAGGAATGTTTCTATTGACACACACAAGAGGCCTGTTGTCCCCTCTCACATGGAATGTAATGCGCCTATTGTTCAGGACAATGTTATGGACGCCATCAATGTTTTTTTCGTGGTGCTGTGGGTCGACCAAAGGGGGGATCACCTTCTATGCTGAAATTCCTTCACCCATCGTTTATTTGTGGGATATGATGTGACAGCATACCCACAAAGACCATGCAACCAGTCATAATATTCTTTCGTGATTCACCCTCCATGGTAATTTCTTTTATGATTGTCCTATACTCATTTGTGTTCATTTCAATGCTACGGAGTAGCCTACCTCAGAGTCGAGGTCATTCATCAGCAAGTCACTGGATTGAAGCATGCCATGTTGAGAAATCACTGAACAAACAGTTCAATACGAATACCTGTCACAATTAAAAACAACCTCCGTGGTCTAGTGGTAGAGGATCTACCCAGTAGAGCGGAAGGTCGGGAGTTCGTTCCCCGGCCGCATAATACCACAAGACGCTAAAAGATGTTTATTGTTGTTACCCTGTCTGGTGCTCGTCATTGGACTCAGTATGGTGTCTGAGTGGGGTGTTCATGTTAAACTGCGGCATGGTATCTGTGGGCTAGCACTATAAAATCGGCATTAGTCCGGACCAGTAGAAACAGACACACATGCATGCACGTGGCTATAAGTGCAATAATCTTATCGTATAGATACGAGGGGCATTCAATAAGTTTTGCAACTTTGGCATTTTGTGTTTACACAAACAATGTCAACTTGTGGCAGGTGTGACACTAGTCATAACATCAGGGTGACACGAGTCATATCAAGTTCCATGCCACAACACAACAATATGTTAGATGTGATGGCTTCATTCACCAAAGGGTGGTCACAATCATGGATTCTCTCAAACATGAACAATGCGCTGTAATAAAGTTCCTTACCAAGGAGGGATGCAAAGCATAAGAAATCCATGATTGCATGTGTAAATTGATGGGTAAGGATGCTCCTGACTATTCCACAGTTTGCCGTTGGTCTCTACAGTTTAAAAGGGGTAGGGAGTCCATAGATGATGACCTAAGGTCAGGCAGGCCTTCAGATGCCACTCAACCGGAAACCATTGCTACTATAGAAAGAAGAATTTTGTCTGACCGACGAGTGAAGGTATCTGAACTTTCTAGGGAATTTCAGTTGGAACTGTTGGAACCATTATTCATGAGCATCTTGGTATGTCCAAGGTATCTGCCAAATGGGTACCTACAAACCTCAGAGCTCAAGATCGCCATCAGAGAACTGAAAGTTGTCGAGACCTGCTGGATCTATATACTGCTGATGAAGCCGGATTTCTTTCTCGTCTAGTAGTAGGTGATGAAACATGGATCCACCACTGGGACCCAGAAACTAAATTGGAATCCATGCAATGGAAGCACCCCAATTCTCCGCCTCCGAGGAAGTTTCGCCACTCAACCATCGGCTGGCAAGGGAATGGCCACCATATTTTTGGATGCAAGATGCATATTACTGATTGATTACATGCCACTACAATCAATGGACAGTATTATGCTAATGTCATGAAAGAATCGCAAAAAATCTATTCGCTAAAAACGCCATGGGATGTTAACACGTGGTATTCTACTTTTGCATGACAATGCTCCGGTTCACAGGTAGAGAATTGCACAGGCCGCCATATGTGAATGTGGATTCGAACAGTTAAATCAACCACCCAACAGCCCAGACTTAGCCCCCAGTGACTATTTCCTGTTCCGGCAAATGAAATCTGCCCTACGTGGAAGACGCTTCCAGTATGACGAGGACCTAAAGACTGCCACAGAGGCGTGGTTAGAGGGCCAATCTGTGGATTTCTATAAAAGTGGTATTAAAAGCTTGAAGGACAAATGGAATAAGTGTATTGAGGTGAATGGAGATTATATTGAAAAATAAAAGTGCAAAAGATATTCTGCGACTTGGTCTTATATTGAAGTTGCAAAACTTATTGAACGCCCCTCGTATGTCAAACTCTCAATAAAGGCATTGCACAAAAGGACACAGCTTATAATTAAAAATGCCTAGATATTAATTTGCTAAAAAGTATTGGGATTAGATTTTTTTATGAACAGTTATTGACAAGAAAGTCATTGAGATGGGGACACATTCACAATAAAGACACAAATTTAAGACACATCACAATAAAGATTTTGAGATGGCACATTCACAATGAAACGTCACGTTTAAGCACCGACCTACACATAGGTCTCTGTTTAAGACATGCTTCTACAAATATTTTGAGACGACGACAGTTCACAATAAATATTTTGAGATTAGGACACGTTCACAATAAAGATTTTGAGATGGCACATTATTTCACAATAATAATTATTGAGATTCACAATAAGACGTTACGTATAAGACATTCCCCAGCAAACATGTTTACAATAAAGATTTTGTGATAGCGCTCTTTAACATAAATACCTTTGTATGGCGACATAAAAAGACGTTAGTTTAAGGCAAATACAATAGATTTTGAGATCTCGCTTCCACAATAAAGGCGTTCTGATGATAGAAACCCCAATGTGATTGATAAAAGAATCTTTAAGCGACATAAAAGGTTGGCGACATTTTAAAAAAGAGCTTGAATAGTATTCACCTAAAAATAGACACTGAAAAGGTGTTAAATCCGTGTTTGAGGATAAAATGTAAGTGGGTCAAGGTGCTGTGCGTGCTGAACAAAGCGCGTGTATGACGCGCAGGCCAAGGATCTCGTCTCAGACCTGCATTACTTCCGACTTTCCTCCAACATCAATCTGGCACGCCGTGAAATAACTGAGAGAGTGGGTGGGTGAGTTTGTATTAACGGCACTTTGAACAGTATTCCAGTTATATCACGGCGAGTTCGCTTGATGTGGGAGGAAAGCCCGAAGTGATGCAGGTCTCAGACATTTGCCACTTCGTTGAAACCGACAAGCACAGGTATGATGCTGACAAACCTAGAAACATAATCGGGGCGGACGGGGATTCCAAACAACGATCACCTGGTTCTGGTGAGCCCAAGGGACGCAACTCTGCACAGCGAATTGTGGCGCCTCAGATGACAGGGCCACCCGCTCTCTCTGGTGTATCTGAAATCCTCTTTTAAATGGCGCAAATCTCAATCACTCATTCAGTCACTCTTACCATTACCATACTGAATGTTATTACCAGGAATGCATATATTTCAAAATAAATCCTATTTTTATAATTAATAGATATTAGTGACCTTGGCTGGGGTACCGTCTACTGACAAAAGTGACACGTACTACAGGAGGACAACCAGTTCCGGTAAATTGGGTAATTCATATATACATTTATTATGCCTCAAAGTTAGATTGACCAATCAGAGGGCAGAACTACCGACCCCCACACGAGCCCGTATACCGTCAGTAAAAATCCAAGATGGTTGTTACTGACCTAATATGAGACCGTATACCGTCAGTAACAGCCATTTTGGATTTTCCAGCACCCACCTCATATACTTCACAAAATAGTATTCCCCGTGTGAGTCAGTGTCATTTACCGGGTCCCTAGCCTGGACATAGCATGATCTCTTGTTGCCATACCACCACCCATACATTTTCTTGAAATAAAACACAACAATAGTGATTGGATGAATGAATGCATGCACGTATTTCAAGAGCTGAATTTACAGATAGTCCTGGCGAAAATTGAATGCCTCGATGCTTAAAAACTACTGGCTGGAACAACGGCCGTCCATCAGTGACAATTAACATAATTGATGCCATACATTTAGATGTAATCGAAGATCTGCAGTGTCGTGACCGTGCACGATACCAGATATATAGAGCAAATCCGGGTTCAAGCGGATATTGTTACAGCAGTGTGCGGCAAACTGGGCAGAATAAACTGTCCCCAAAAAAGCTTCAGACTGTTTGAAAGAAATAGATTGTCTGTCACCCAAACATATTGTTGCAACGTGTTATTTGTATAAAATATGTTTTGCACCTGTAGCTGGAAGTATATTATATATATTGATAAACGGTCGGTCCCTAAAGATAAGAATATATGAATGTAGTAGTCATTTCACAATATAATTTAAACTGTTTTCAATGCATGC